CATCACCTCCATTTGCAGGTGAAGACGGGACAACAACTACTTGGTGTTTGCGCAAGCGGTCAGGCGAAGAATATGCAGGATCCCCGAAGGAAGGAGCACCGCCTTCTGCGATGACTCGCGTCGTAAGATGCTCCAAGGGCTCGGATCCGGGGGACAGCCGCTGCAGGGCCGGCGTCCAAGCTACGGAGCGCACGCTCTTTGGGCTCAATTTCCGTAACTGAACCGGTACGAAAGGTCGCTTCGGAGACGACATTGATGACATACTTGTGGCAGCGCCTGTCGGGATGGCGCCAAGGCCGTTTGTTGCGTGCGCCACCATGCTCGCCGCACTCATTGGTACACCTCGCGCAGCGAGTCCGGACGTTGCTTCTGTTGATTCGTCGACGGATGCTTCTCCAACGAATGAAGTTCGTTTTGTCGCACCAGCTGCAGGTGATGATCGATTTCTATTCATCCCACCAACTTCGGGTCCTGCTTCCGTCTCAGACGCGGTTTCCTCTTGACCGCGAATGTATCTATCGAAGAGAGCCTCTGACCATACAGCGCGCTGAGGCTTCTTTCCGTCAACACTCACCGCTGATGCATCTTTCATTGCCCGATCATCTACTGCGATGCGCTTGTTTGGTAGTGTCATGACTCCAACAAGTGGTGCGCGTTGATTCGATTGATGCGCACCCCCAACTGCAATTGTTCTTTGTTGGTGGTGCGTCGTCGAAGGAGCAGGGCTTGCGCCATGCTTGGACCCTTCGCTCACGACAGCAGACCGAGAAGCCACCACATCTTCTGCGTCTTTTGCCTCCTCTGCCTTTCTACTGGCTGGTGAGGAAGAGGAGACCGCACCTCCACCTTGTTGCGCAGCTGAGCTTCCCCCAACCTTTATCTCGCCTGATTGATCGGATGTTGGGGCATCGCCTAGGGAACCAGTGCTGACAGTGCCCGTCTGAAAAAAATCCTCTAGGCCGTACTCCATCCTGAAGTTCGCTGCCCTTGTAACGAGGCGGATCGGCCTCGACGTCGTCTGCTGATCCTCATCTCCTGGTGGTAGCGCTTCACTCATCTTGATGATCGCGGATGCTACTGGTACTGATAGGAAAATCGAAAGATCAAGATTGTAAGCAGGTACGCAACGAGGACTAGTTGTACTTTAACGTCAAATAATGATGTATTCTCTAGTACTCATGGACAGTGGGCTCCGAAGCTTGCTGGCACAGTCAGTCGAATAAACTATCGTGTGCCAGCTGCAGCTGCTGTGAGCATGCATGGTCTTGCTCTGTTTCTTATAGGTGGAAGACAGTCATATCCTCATCTAGAAATTATCTGACACCACCTTGAGAAGGGCAACCATGACAAGAGTATTTACAGAGAATCTCTCCTAGATATCTTGCATAGTGAGGAGTAAAACGATTGCGGTAAGGTGTAATAACCACGGTAGCAGGTGGAGGGTCCGCTCGTACAAAATTCGAGCTTACACATACATGTCAACATCGGATTCTAGAATTTGGCACCTTGTCTGCGCCTAGCACTTTCTTGTAGTCACCGATTTCCGATTACATGCAAATATTTTTATTACCGATGCTATTTTCATCCTTTTGCCTTTTGCACACCGCTGCAGACAGAAGGCGATAAATAAATATCATCATCCAATCACCGATCATGTTAGGCCCGCAACAATGACCGAAGCGACGCGTGTCCACAGAAACGATTTCGTTCGCCTTTGCGGGCATAGCCTTGAAACTTTAAAGATGGAACATCTGAACGAAGCTGGAATGAATCTTCAGTCATCTATCTTCTTCACTGGTCTTTGGCAACTCCAGCTCCTTCTAGGACTTGGCCTTACCCAAAGGAGAGAGAAACATGTTACCATATCCCAATTAGCAGTAGGTATATCAAATACTTAGAGGAAAGACCCTTGCAAAAGAAGGACCGACGACAGCACGAAGGCGGGAACGGCTGATTCAGATACAACGTCTGCAATCGTTATTTGGCCTTTTTCCTCGTCGTCAATGCCATGCTGCGTCTTCCGCATGCGCTTGATCAAGTCGGCAGAAGGTTGGGCATCCTGGCATTTTCCTGCGCAGAGGTCCATAAATTGCGGCATGTTCTGCTCCGTTTTGGTAGGAACCTGCAATTGCGCCACTTGTAGCGGCTCCACAGGGATCGCACACGTAACGGCAAGCTGCGTCCCGCTGACAGCGTTCGATCGAATAGGCTTAGAAGACGAGAAGTGTCAAACAAGCTTACTAGCTCATACCTCATAGAAGTAGTTCGTTGTACAAGAACCCAGTTTCCATTCAAGAATGGGTTAACGATTTATTTCCTCGTTTTCTTTCACTTTCACCTTTGTTTTAGTCTTAACTATCGTCGATGCGGATCCGTCTTTGCGCTGAGTGGTTTCCACCGGCAGGCACCGAACGAACTGGCTTGGTATGATTGCATGAACTTTATTTCCGGATAGTCCGCCGGGTTCTCCCGTTGTTGCGCTTGCGGGAGTCGTACCACTGCTATCTTTGGGTACCAGACAGCGAGCCCACAGGTCCTGAACGTCCTCCCGAATCATGTCGGATCGGAGGGGCAAGTCTCGCAGCGCGATATTAGCACGCCTCGCGCATTGGCACCTTAATTGCAGGCTCTCAGGAGCGCATGTGGCCGCTGCAGTGACGGCGTATTTCTTCAGCTTTTCCTGTATCGCGTCCTCTGGTGATTTCAACTGCAGAGGTCCAGCACCTTCGATATTTCCTCCATTACTAGGAGCTTCATCCTGCGGGCGCCAACACGGTCGGCACGAATCAATGATACGCTGATGACCTTTGCGGTCTGGGTCATGGTATGCGATAGACACGACCTGCCCTTCATTGTCGTAGTAGACAACAGCTTCTTCTTCATCTTCCGAAGCGTTTTTAGGGTCTCTTTCGTCTTCTTGTTGACCGTGACTTCTTCCGGCTCCGGGTTCTCCTTTTGCATTAGCAGTGGTAGTTGTACTGTCAGCCGCTGGCTTCGTAGACAAGAAGCGTTTTGACAAGTCACAGGTGACTTCACCTTTGTCATCCTCCGGCGCTGCGACGGAGCGAGGTCGCTTGATTGTCGACTTTTCCAAATTGCAAGGCACCCACGGCGTTCGGCCTTCCACTTCGCGTTCGGTGCTTCCGCCACCGAGCACATATGAACACGCATAACATCTATTTTCCTTGCACTACTTCTACTTAACCCGATTATGCTTAATCTCAGGGGAGTTTTCATTGCAGCGACTCACGACTACAACTTACACTTACTAACAGTCACAGCCAATGCAGGTTTTAGTTTCAGCCTCATAAAGTTGGTATTTCCATTTTCTGTTTCGCTAAATTGCATCGCGCGTAGAGTCTTTGGGCGCCAGACTTGGTTCCACATTGACAGCGAAGCTGTAGCTCGTCTGGGGAGCAGTCTGCTACCAATTTTTTTGCAATGAACTCAACTTGTTGCTCGTCCGTCCTAAGACTTCCATCAGGCCGTCGAAAGCGTTCTTGCATCTTCGCTTGCAAAGCCAGCTTCTCCTCTTTATAGCGCACTCCATCGGGATCCAAGAGTGTTTGCGCTGTGCTTCCAGAACCTGGATCCCGAGTCTGTGTGGAGACTCCGGCGGGATTTTCTTTGCTCAAAACGAGTTTTTTCTTTAGGATATCAACTTTTTGACCAGCTGCAAGGTTACTCTCAGTGCCGTCGCTGGACGAGTCATTCTTTACTCCATATGTGGTCACCGCGGTCGTCGGAGATGCTGCAGTACTGGCCGTAATCGTTGTTGCACCTGGCACAGCGGAAGTGACTGCGGAAGCACTCTTGCCGTTTGCCTGGCTCGATGCAGGTGGAGGCATAGTTCCGATTCGGCCCAATGGCGATTGACCGATAGAGGCGGAGCCTTGCTGATCCGCCGGATGTACCTCGGCAGGGAGTCCTTGCATGTCGCGCAATTCTGCTGGCGTCGGTCCAGCATCTACGTTTTCAAATGTATCGAGTATTTCGGGCGGAACCCCTTCGTCATCATCAGGCGCGCCCCGCGTAGCTGCAGTGAGGTCGTCTCGTGTCACGACTTCCTTTGCGTCTTCGGACCGCGCAGCGGTAAGTGGATCTTCAGTCGGGTTGAGAGACTCGTCCTCTTCGTTGGCCCGCGCTGTCTCTTTATTTCCATCAAGAACATTCTTGCTTCCTCGATCAAGCACATCCTGCGTTCCTGCCTGAACACCTTCACTGAGCTTTTTTCCTTGTCCAAGTATTTGTCCAAACACGAAAGAAGTCGATCGTATCCTTGATCCACTTGCGCCTCGATGATTCCAACTGTCGTAAAAACTGGTTTTCGTTTGATGCGGGTGCAATGTCGAGGCCAGAATTTCTGTTGAGGGCCACGTGTTGGTGTTCGTGAGCACGGTGAGCCACGAACCAGAAGATGTTGGCGTCGTCAGCCCAGAGAAAATCTGCTCCATCCATGCGCACATGGACTCACATGAAAGTAGACCCGTCATCGTATAATCTGCTTCTCTGCAGTTGCGGATGATTTTATGCAGATGGAAGTGCATGTACTACTATGTACTACCGCTACGCTCATGTGTAGTAATTTGCTTGAGGGTTCTTACATTTAAACATATGAAGAAAAATAGCAAATCTTGCATGACTTGAACGTTCACGCGTACTGTCGAGCATGCGGAAGCGGGTGCTGGTGTCGGGAAACAGACAGGGGCTCAATGAGACGTATCTTTGCATGGACGCTACAGATTCGTGCAGAAATTTTCCAGACTGCGACCGATGTGGAAAAGCAGCAGACTCACTGGATTGGTGCTGAAGCTTTTCTGACAGAGATTCGATCAGAACGCGAACGTTCGGGTATCTTCATTGTCCGACGTCATTTGCTGATTGGATTCTTATGTCATCAAATTTTTCTGCCATTTTCTACTGATTTCGTGCCTGAACACACATCATATCACTTGTTGTAATCGGGATGACCGACGAGTAGTCATGTTTGTGTTTCTCTGACTACAAGACTGGCAAGCATCTTTGGCACGCCTTCTCATCATCATCATCATCAACAGCACTTGCGAAACTGAAAACGAGAAGTTCTTTCTAATTCCAAATTAAGTTCAGCTTTTCATAAATTATGAAAGTGTTTTTCAATATGAGAAAAAGTGAATACTTTTCACGAACATACAAAGAACGTCTGTTGTCCTGCTGTCATATCCTATGGTGTCGTAGTAGTTGTGAGTCACATGATCATCATGAATCACTATTATGATCATAAGTAACAATGAGCACGCAAGAACATAGCGATAGCATGCCTAGTATGATGGTATGATGGTAGTTCCCATGTATGTTTGTGAGTAAAAAAATAGTTCTAGTATGCATGGGGTTTCAGATTTAGTTTGGTGTTGAATTTTTGCACCTTCACGATGCGCCTGTTTTCCTTCATCTCGTTGAACCGCCGAGGCTGACGACATTTTTCGCATGATAATAAGTACACTAAAAATCTCGTTCAACATCCCCACCTGCGTCTTAGAGGTCCTTGATAGCCGGTCGGTGTGGCGGTCGCTGGATTTCGATTTCCTTTATCTTTTTCTTGCGGTAGGTTCTCACCATTGGCGCTCGGACCACGGTCTTGCTTTCCTGTAGTGTTGTCCAGCCATGCGCCGGTGGTGCGTGTGCCGGACCTGCCACAGAGTAGAGGCCTACGCCGTGCAAGGAGTCAATCCACCAATGGCCGTCCGCGGCATTCCGGTAGATGTAGGAATCATTGTCTTCGTTCTTGTACCACGTGCTGCGATTCCACTTCTTCCACATGGTCTCCGCATGCCAGCCCTCCAATCGACAAAAGACGTTGAACGCGATGGGAACCTGCGAGGCAGGCCTCGGCCAGTAGTTGCCCTGCACCTCCGTGTGGCCACCGTAAATAACTTGAACTCTCTCGATATCGGTGCGAGCGAGTTGCATCCACCCTGGGCTATTCAGTGCATCTGTTAATATCGCCTTCGCAGAGCCCGCGCCCGCGCGAGTGGCCATTTGTTCTGGGGTGAAGCCGATCTTTCCTCGGTTCAACGGTGAAGCGCCGGCTAAGAGAAGCAGTCGGCAACCTACGAGCATATCATTCCACGCCATGCGCTGCAAGGGTGTCACTCCTTGCGAATCTAACGCCTCCACATCCGCGCCATGGTCGCACAGCACCTGATTTTGATAGTTGTATCAAGTTTGGTCGTTTGTTGGAAATTCATGTGCTGACTAACGTGCGAGGCTTTGTTGATACACCTCTACCGCGTTCGCGAAAATGCTGATCATGATGAAAAATAGTACGACACACTTGTCGTTTTTTAGTATACACTTCTCATTCTCGCTTACCTTTTAGAAAAGAGGAATTCTAATGACGAGTGCAAGTTGATGTACCTCCACAGCATACTGCGTTGCGCGTGTTGTTGAGCACATGTGCAGAGGTTGAGCGCCACCGGTTAGCTGATCGTTCACTAATTCTGGGTACTGCTGAAGTACCGGCTTGAGCAAGCGCTCAGTATCGAGTAAAGCGTGCACAATATTCGGATACCCGCCTCCTGCGTACGCGGGTTTACCCAGGAACATCGTCACTCCACCAGTATGGGGATGTCGTTTCACCCGCCCTCCATACGACTCGGGTCCTGGTGGAGCTGTTGTACGAGCGAAACAGATGCAAGAATAAAGAATTGATGAAGACAGATAGAGTACTCCTAGATGATATTGTTAAAGAACAAATGATGCTGAGCGGGCGTTGGCAACTCCATCCAGAGTGTGGATGTACAGCTTGAACATGATTTGAATCTACTACTCGGCAAAGCGGCTTCTAGGATTGATCTACTTAATCGATAAACCGAAACATATTTTGCGGGATACTGTAGACTGCTGTGAGCGCATCTTCTGAAGCGATGAGAATCATGATGATGTTCGAAGCGAGACACGACCATATTTTCTCCTGGTAGTTTCTGCAGAGAAAATACTTCTAGGAAACTACATCATGATAGATAACATGCAACCTGATCAGTATGAAATTCGTTCGAGGAGGGATGCACTTCAGTAGGCATGAAAGTCTTATCCTGAAAATACCTTTAGCTCCTCCGCCTGCGCCGAGGCTGCGTTCCGCACCGGAGTCAAATAAAGCCGAGAATGCGAACTCTTTGTTAGATGGCTCTTCGGCTGGCGGTGGACCGTACATGGCAATCATCGTTGGTTGCGAGGGTGCAAATGGGTAAGGGGTCTTTCGCGTCTCCCGCTTCTTTTTGCGCGGCAGCGCCATGTAGCCGTCAATGGCAGTCTGCGGCGCCTCATCTCCCAGGTCCAGCACTCCACCATTTCCAGCAGAAATGCGAGGCGGGCTTCCATCTTGATCGGCCGTTGCGTGGTCGCCTTCTTTACTTGTTCTCGTGCGGCCGCCGACGACGACCCCGGTGGCCATCTGCTGCTCAGAGCTGCTCGGCCGGGGACTACCCTCGCCATCTAGAAAAGCACCATCGGCATTCTTATCCTTGCTCAGGTGCTCAAGCAATGCTCGCGGACTGGAATTAGGGTGCGGCGAAGACTCCCCACCAATTCCCATCTCGGTCGTTCAGAATCCAAAATAAAGTTCGATGAATAGGATGAATACAAGGGAAAATTATAAAAATCCAAGAACATCAAATGATCCAGGAATGATAAAAGCAAACGATGAAAACATCGATATTATAATATCCAAGAGCAAGATTGAAGATTACAATTACTATCACATGTATTTTGAATACAGGAAAAAGAAGAAAACGTGGAGGAAGGCAAGGCTCGGGGGACGAAAGTGAGTGTGAAAACCTGAACCAACTAGGAAGTCAAAGCAAGTACTAGAGACCCTCTTGATTTGATCCACATCGTTCTACGGTTTTGATGTTGATCCTTAGACCGCCAATATCTAAGATGCTACGCAAAGGCAACAGACGTCCTTCCCTCAACTCGAACGACAGTTGGTTTCATCTTCGTCCTTGCGCTCACCCACAGAAACAGATGTTTTTTAGAAGATCGTCAAACATAAGGTTGGCAACAGACTCTCTTTGTGTTGAGCTGAAGTGATTCACTCAGCAAATGAAATCCAGAACATGTGAACATGAGATTCAAAGAGTGACAGATCATTAGAGGCTACTCTCAAGGTATCAGATCGTGGTTTCTCTGGTTCATGAAACTGCATGTGCATCACTCTCTCAGGTTGGTTGTATCATTTGGCAGCGACAAGCAACATTAGCTCTTCGTTGTGTGCTGGGCTTGTCCTCTGACAAACAGTAACAGTGGTACGCTACTGGCATAAAACACGACGCTCATCCGCTTCGGCAATAGTTAGCCGGTGGTGTGTTGAAATATCGCCCAATTTGTTGGGTCTTGTTAGTTCCAGTGGTGCGTGCACGTGCCTCCTTTCCACGAGAGCAACCTTCACGAACTCGCGTCCTTTACAATTTTATTCATCTCACAAAACCCACCCCCACTCGTCAAAACAGAGCAGCAGTGTAGTTCGTCTTCTCGGTGCTCCTCGTTTCACACACAGTTGTGCTGGTCGTCGGCGCAAATGCTGCAATTAATTAAGCAGATGCAATAAATTGAAACTCAACAAGGTTGCCTAGGTTTACGCTAGGGATCCCCCCGAATCATTCTCTTCAAAAATAACCCGGAGACGCATGGACAAAACGAACTTAAACCGAGCCGGGTATGAAAATTGATACCCTACTTCAGTGAATTATACAACAAAATGCTGAAGAGGGAATACGCGCACGCCTCACCCCAACGAGTAGCCTCGAGTACGTCACTGAAGAGTTGCATCGGTTATTCCCCTAACATGATTCACTGGTGCAATGAATTAGGTGCAATGAATTAGATGCAAGACGCATACTAGTAGCGAGATGACGACGTACTACAGGTGTAGCGTGTTGATCCATAGATACTGCCCGCTCCAGTACTTGCTCGCAGTCGCACGGCATGTCCAAGATCACACAGAGGACACAAAACAGCGAGGGCGCCGCACATCAGAACCCTAGTTACGAGGGCCTTCCTGTTGTTCCTTGTTTTCGCCATTCTGTAGTTACTACTTTTGATTTTTTTACGAGAACTAGCTAATGCTAATTAGGTAATAGCTACCTTTACCTTATATCAAGAACAAATACAATCAGTAGTATGTGTTAGGAGGTTATTAATCAAACAAAAAATCTAGAACAAGGAATTACTCAATTTGAAAAGATGCAATTTCTTCATGATGACCGCGCCTTCATCTTTTCACAATCAACGCAATGTTGAGATCGCGGCAGGTCAATCTTTCTAATTTATTTTTACATCAACAAGAAAATAAAGGAGATTGAGATCATTGCAAGGCGCACACAAGCAGTCCTGATACAGATCGGAAAATATTAAGTTGGCAATGGTGTTTACAATCATATAATCCTTCTAGCGAGGATATTACAATTTTTTAATACAACAGTTCGGAGATAGTCACACGATCTCATAAGCACAAAGAGGAAGTTCAGCCATGCAACAAGTGAATTATAATCTTCTTCAATCTGTCGTGGTCTCGCGTGTCTCTTGAAAAATGGCCAGAGAGTATGACAGCGACTACTAATTTGTGGATGTGAGCAAGAGCTTTCTTAGAAAACCTGATACAGTGGTTGCCGTGGTCCTACTTCTCATTTACATGCCAAATCACAATATTTAATGATGAACTGAAACTCATACTTGAACTTCTAATTCTTAAATCATTGTTCTCCGTCAGCTCTTTGGATTCGGCTTGCATCCCGCGGTGTTGAAGTAGTTTATCTCGACGTTATACGGATGCGCTGTTCGGTAGAGCAGCCAGTTGCTTGACCGATTGGTTACGGATATTTCTTGTTGGTTTATCAGAATAGATGGTGATACAACTAGTTCTTCTTGACATCAATACCTGACATTCCTCGATAGAAAAATTACTGACATTTGCATCACTAGGAACTTATGAATCCAACGTACTAGAAGATCTTGCTACAACGACCCTATTTTCGGTTATAGTCGTTTTATCCATGTTGACCACCTTGACTTTTGTCCGTCACTTTACATATGACGGCGATAATTTGCAACCAGAAACGATGGATCTGTCTCTGTGATCAGGATCGAAGCGCTGCATTCAACAAGAACCAGCTATAACAGATACGATCGATTTGTTCACTCTATCTCTATGATCGGCTCCAAGGATCTTCAAACATAACAGCAAGCTGAAAGACATCTTCTTGTTCGGCATCTTCATCTACTTTCCAGTCTTTGAGTGACCTGCCCAGAAGAATAAGGAAGGACCTTTCATGATCCGCGATGAAGATACGAAAAAGTTCTTTACAAAGCATGCTGTAGTGAGTGTGCACTGTTGCATCTTCCATGTCGTAGTTTACACGACAAGGTCGCCAGTGGTGGCGGGCACGCACCTCGCTGATCATGTTCTTGTGATTTTCAAAATCCAATTCGAGATAATCCACCCAACATTCGAAGCTGAATTTTTGAAAGTAAACGATCTGTTCACGTGGTATGAACGAGCATAGGTGATGCTGTTGAAATCCAAACGAATTTCTGTACGGCGTGTGGTCCTGGCTTTTCTCTTTCGTTTTCCTTTTGTAGCGAATCTGCTTCTGATGAATCTACTTTGTTGATGCAGAAGTTTACAGCAGCGTTGTTACCGACAAAGAGCCCTCCAGCATTCTTCATGCGGTCTAAAGAAAAGCGCGTGCGGAAGTATCCCGTAAAAGCGTCTTCTTCGCGCTTGGATACGATATTGTGAACGCACATGCGAATCCATGCTAGAAGCGGCGAGTGAGGCTGCAGTCGGCGATTGTAGAACAGATTCTGCGTTTCTGTGCGCAAATGGTCCTCGTCCACTGAGGAAGAGCTTGCTTTTACTCGATGTTCCTTGCTACTAGCAGCACATGATAGAGTTTTTTCCGCGAATCCCAAGACTTTGAGCAGAAACGCGTCTAGCATTGTCGCGAAACGGGATCTAGGCGGATCCTCACCCTCTAAGTGGGATGTCATCAAGTGTTCTAGTGTGCGTTTCTGTTTTTGCTTCAGAACACGGTACAGTTCTGCGCCGTCGCTATGCCCGCTCTTCGGATTTACCAGTGGAACCGGACATCGTTGACAGGGTTTCAGGAAGAGCAGATTTGCTTCTCGAACCTGATGTTGGTCCAAAAGATCGTCAACATATTGTTCTTCAGATATTCTTGCTCCTTTCCAAGCGTCCTCAGCAAACGCCAACCGATTCCGCCACTTATCGTATCTACAACGCGGCGCAGACGTAGAACCTACACTAGTTGTACTTCTATTTCTGCTTTTGCCGCTGTTGCCGTTGTCTTTCTTTAGAAATGCTTCTAGGGACACGGGCGAAGTATTGTCCAGAATAATGTTAAACCGGAAGCGCCGGCTCACCTCGTCAGCTGAGCGATTCGTAGCGAACCCGATCGTTTGTAACGTCGCTGTGGTGCCCACAAGCAGCGGCATCCCATCCGCAAACCTCGGAGGTGGCATAAAGCGTGGAGGCTTGAATTTTCCGTCTGTATGCCCATCTCTTTGATGAAAACGGACCAGTCGCAGCCCAGGCCGCCCGAGCTTCTTAGAAAGCCACGCTCCTGCTTCGTCACCTTGATCGATGCCGCGGACAAGGCTGTCCCACAGGAGCATGTCCCGCTCGCCATCTGCTGCTTGTGCTTGATGTGACTGCAACCTACCCGATTGCGTCTCATCTCCAGTTTGAATCTTCAAGACAAAAGAATCCACATCCTCCAACTGCGTCCGTTCGAACGTTGCAGAGGATTTCGGTGATGTTGTTGATGAGGCCGACGTTGGTCCAACTTTGTTTGAGGAGGACGTCGAAACATCTTTTCCAGCAAGACCACCATCACCACTGGAACATGCTTGACTATTTCTATGTTCGAAAAAGCATATTTTCATCGTCATAGTTTCCATATTGGGTAGCTGAGGCTGGATTTTGACGAGATCGCCGCATTCACGAATGGTCATCAGTTCGTAGGGTGTGAGATCACGAAGGGGCGACTCTGCTTCGCGAGATAGCTCTGGGCGCATGACTCCGAATTCGCGATCAAATTCGAGTCCACGTTCGAATAACCGTCCTTTTGAGATCTCTACGCCAGCGCAGCTTTTGATCGGGTACACACGCAGCGACGCGACCGGCACCTCTATCAATTTTCTTTTACCAGTTTCATCATCTTGGGCTTCTTTGGCCGTCTTTCTGTTCTTGTCCAAAGCAGCACGTTGTGGTGCTAGAACAGCCAGACAGGCGAAGAAAATTGCCAACACTGAGACGCCGTGCGCTAGGTGGTACAACATCGGAGAAAATTCGAGAGAGAAGGTCCTTGGTGAATAACCGAGTAACGCTAAAACCTGTTGCAGCCGCATCACAGGCGCGAAGAAAAAAGCAACGGTGCCGGCGATCAACGCGCTAACAAGCACACGCTGCCGTGGACGCATCTTTGTGGACACCATGATGTTGATGACGAGGATGAAAGGATACTAGTAGTGCGCGTGTGAAAGACTCATTACTTCCCTCATTCGAATACAGCGAAGTCAGTGAGCTGATGACTAGAAGGACGTAGAAGAAGTGGATGTGGTTGTTCTTCGCGTAAGAAAAACAAAGTCAAGAACTACCAACTGATTGGTAGCGGTTTGGATGTTGTTGTAGAAATGATCTTTCGCAATAGATACGCAGATGAACAACGAATGGATACGCAAATAAAGAGTTGCAGATTTTTTTGCGCGTTGTATCTTCAAAGACCTCGAAGATCGCCCTGACTTGAGAACGAGGTCATCATGATCTACTAGATAACATGATATATGAATATATCTCTGGGGCCTTTGACGATTTCCATGCCTTACTTGGATGAAGTCAATGGCACAAGGACCGGCGGCCACGCATTGTTCGTTTCATCGCGCCACTACTGATGCCTCAGCGAAATCTTTCAAGCTGCGGTAAGGACGAGGTCGTGCATATCAGTGATTGTGAATATTCATACTGATTCCGGAGGTTGTCACTCAGTCGTTGCAGCCGTGGCAAGATTTTTTCATCCTCCGAATATCCAGTGCATTCTGGATACTCAAACTGAATCGGGAATAGCCCCTGCCCGTGCTTGAGTCAATCAAAGACGACTGCAACTCGCAGTGCCTCTAAAGCTATTGATGACATAAATCTACTCGGCAATCTGCCTAAGATTTCCCGGACGAATTCGACCCGCTAATCTAGCTTGTTGTTGGATTGTCAGTTTTTTCCCGACTGTTCCTGTTGGTCCTGATGTAGAACGACGATGGTCAGGCTTTTGCTTTCCTATTTCTGACCAGAGGCTTCTATCTAGTGCGTCCTCTAAAGCTATTAAGCCGGCAATTCCCTTTCCCACGCTTCGACGTCGCAGGTGCCTCCGCAGCCAAGGCGCACGTGCTTGCGACGCATGTTCAGATGCGAAAAAAGGAGGTTGTATGGTCCCGTCCGGTTGTGAGCCACGGCTACGCCTGTGGCACTGTAAGCACCCTCAAGGGTGTCATCCCTTTCGACTACGATCGTCTTCACGTAATCGAACAACTTCGGATTCTTCCGAAATTCATCTACTAAACAGCCCTCGCAATCTGTGAAGATGTTGAGTATGAGTTTTGGAGGACTAGGTCTAGGACTCGCGACTACTCAACAAAGCGGATAATATTAGAGAGCTAAGTAAGTAGATAAAAAAGCAACAACGACCCCACCAAACTCTCACTCTTCCACTTCCGAACCCCCAACGCCTGAACTCATCCTCATGCGAACTCATGCGAACCCATGGGAACTCATGAACCTAAGAACTTGCGAGCCCTGGGAATTGGTTAGATTTTTCACGCGGGTGCGTATTAAATTTAAACTTTACGAAATAAAGTCGAAACCTCAGTTCAAATCGTAATACGATTTGAACTGCAAAAATTTTAAGTTTTAAAAAATCCAAGCCCAGAGAAAGAATTTTAATATCTAAAGTCTTAAATATGCACTCACCTCCATTTTTTTACGTTGAAGCGAAAATATTAAAGAGATAAATAACAAATCAACGACGACCCCTCCAACATCCGAACCCAACACACCCGAACCCAAAACACCTGAACCCAAAACACTTGAACCAAAAGCATGCGACCCCCGTCGCAAATTAATTTTTCCGCTTCTTTTCTAATCACCAAACAAACACAACACACGAACCCCTGGCGCGACAACATCGAGCATCTATCAAAACTAAAATAAAGCACGCTGCGGCTTAATTTAATTCGTGGGCGATAAAATTAAAAATTTTGCACAAAAGGCCTATGCTTTTGACTCTATCAGCTAAAGCCTTACGCTCAACCTCGAGACGGAAAGTCGAAGGCTCCAGCCTCAAAGCCGAATGCTCGAAGTTGAGCAACGCTCTAGATTGGAAGCTCAGTGCCTCAGTATAAAGTTTAAAGCTTTAAGCTGAAAGCTCACACCTGGAAGCTCAAAACTGAAGACTCAAAGTGGAAAGCTCAAAGTTGAAAACTCGAAACTATGTATAAGGTGAAAGTTCAAAGTTGAAAGCTCGAAGTTGAAAATTCAAAGCTAATAGCTCAAAGCTGAACGCTTAAGATTAAAAGTGGCGCATTAATGTTCCAAAGTTTCAGATTTGGAACTCCGAATCCAAAGTTTTTGATTATATCTAAGAAAGGTGAAACCTACAAAATTCCTATCCAAAACTTTTGACCGTATCACAAGAAGACGAATTTTGATAAGTTGCAAACTCGACCGCTGCAACGAAAGCCAAACCTAACAAAAGAAGAGCAAACCTACAGGCCAACAGCTTCGGTCTGTGCCTTTTCAATCAATGGCCGCACGCCGTCCCCCGCCCAACTCTTGCTCCAACGATCAACGCCGCCCGACGGCTGTCGCGGGGGAGGAGCCGGCGAGGCGGAACCTCGCCGGTATTGAGGAAGTGCGTGCCGGGGGTGGATGATCCGAGTGGAAAGAGTGCTACCGGGCGCTCACGTCTAGTAAAGATGCAGATGCTCATCATGAGGAATTAAAAACTTCTAGATCGCGTAGCTTGTTTCTTTTGTATGAGTACATAGAGCATTTTGCAAGCGGCAAGAACAGCAAGCTACACGAAAGTACCAGCCATGACGAAATCAAAGGGTTCTGTCAGCATGCCGCGAAGAAGCCACACCTCACTCTCGTTCGGATTGAGCGAGTGGTCGACAATTTGATAGTGGTTCTTGCACAAACGACGGTTTTCTGCGAGAGCGCCGTACTCTACGTTCTCCATGAGGCCTTCGAGCCCTTCGTAGACATCTTCTACACCAAACGTTGCGGCGTTTGGTTGGATGACCACGTGATTTCGGATATCAATGCTCCGGTGTGAAGGCGGAAGGTACCAATTCGGCGGCGCTGAAAATTCACTCGAGTATCGGTATTCGTTGGTGGATCCGCGTGGCAAGACACCAAATTCCTTTCGTAGAATTCCGATACCATCTTCCCAAGTTGACTGGTCAAGATGATCGTTGTTCTTCCTCGTTTTGCTAGTACCTCCCGTTGATGAAGATGAAGTACTAGAAAAGTCCTTCATCTTGCCGTCTACCAGGTCCTGGTTCCACTGCTTCATGCCTTCTTGTATGACGACAGACACTGAGCCGGAACCACCGCCGAATTCCAGAACGGACCTTGCGCGACCGCTGCGCGCGTAGAGATACGCCAACTACCTTGAAGAAACTCCTTCAAACTTGTTGCTAGAAGAAGGGGAATCACGACATCTGCGTCGTGATCCTCCTCGACTTAGGGAAAAACTTCAGCGAGGTTGAATTACGACAGCTTCGTGATCCTAGTACTCCAAGTTTGACAAAAAATCTCCATCCAAGGACATACATCTCTTTCACCAAATTCCTCCCATGCGGAGCCACTAATGCTCCAATCAAAACACTTCGGGACGTGCTTGAAAAACTCCACAGGTACTGCACTGCACGTGTGCTTCTGCTCCTTCTTCGCTGCCTCCTTTTCCCTCGCTAGTCTACGACGCTCTTCAATCTCCGGTGACGCAAATGATCTCGCTCGATGTGGACGTCCATTCTTACTCGTGGTCTCATCTTTGGGCTTCGGAGCAGAAATGCTAGCATCGGGACCACCTTCTGATTTGTTTGTCGTCTGCTTCGCCATCCAGGAATCGATTTCTTCGTAGACATGAGTTAGATCATCAACATGTTCATAACAAAGTAGTTGCACGTCGGCTTGACGCGGTAGCACTGTTCCATCTACAACACAGCATAAAACTGCCTTCCTTGTATATAACAAAAACGAGCCTGCATGCATTTCCGTAAGCGCCGGACAATCATTTCTTCCATAACTCGTACATGCACTGCGTCTGAACCGTTGGGAGGCCCTGCTCATCCTGTACCCATTTCTTCTCGCATTTCGCGTTGCGAAACATGATGCTACCCTCTTGATGGACGCGCTCCTTCTCCCGCTGCGCCAGTGCGGACTCAGCTGCACTGCAAACCAACTTGATTTCTTTGTCTTTCGGTCCACAATGTGCGTGCTGTTCAGAGTCCCTTGGTGTGTTTGATGCTGGAGACACAACTCCAGTAGTGGCAGATGATCCAGAACCACCAGTAGCCTGATGATTTCCAACTCCTGCTTCTGCATCTCGTCCAGTCTTACCTCCACGGCACAAGCGCAAAACTTCTGACGAAACGCATGTGTCAAATGTAGTATTTTGAAAAGAACAAGGACCGAACTGATTTGCCGGTCTATTGTGAAAGGCAAGGTCCAGGGCAGAAAAGTCTGTTGCGGCAGCTTCAATGTCGAAAGAATTATCTGCTGTGGAGGTGGAACTCACACCTTCTCTCAGAGCTGTAAACGCCTCTTTCACGATGCTGTCTAGGCTCCAGTAGTAAAAAGGAAGACGAGCTGCAGTTCCTCCAGTCCACCCACCTGCTGCTGAAGGTTCCGTGGATGTGGTGGAAGCCGAAGTAGATCCTGTAGCATGTCTGCGTTTGTTAGCATCACCATTGACCACACCAAGTTGCTTGCCAGCCGCGCAGATCCAGAAACTCAGCCGCATCATTTTCTGGTTTCTCGCTAGCGTGGTCACTTCGTCGTCTTCCTACGATTCTTTCTTGACTTTATCTACACTGCACGGTTGCACCGCAATCCTGGCTCTTAGGACAAAACTGCACCCAACGAGACCAGTGAAGTACGGGTCGTTCGAAGAAAGACCAAATGTGTAGATCATCGCTCGTCATTTTGCAGTACATATTCGACTTCCATGTTGTTGATAGAGGGCACATGAGCTAAAACAGGGGGTGCAAGCTTTAGTAGAAGACTCTCCTCCCGAAAATAGGCTTCACTTGTCTCCCATCAAATACGTAGATAAAGATCTCGAAGGCAGACCACGGGGACTGTCGTTTTTTACTTTTCGGAGTAACTATAATAGAACCACAAAGAATGAGAGAAACTGCAAAGTTTTCATTCTTACTCGTATCTTAGAAGTCACAGGCCTCGTCAGTCTAGAGACTCGAACAAGCTTACAGCCGACTGCAGGCATGCTTTTGCACAAAACGTCACTCAGCAGGGCGGCAATGAATTCCACCTCAAGCATTATAAGGAAGTCATACCTTAATACTTGTTCACTCCCGCGCCAGTAGTTTCGATTTCCCGCTTGTCGTCATGGTGTTGTTGGATTGACTGCTTAGTCATCACTTCTAGATGTAGTTTGGACACGCACACTACGATCTAGCACAAGATCGATCAAGAAGCCAAAATTGATTCGTTACGAAAGAATGAAAGAAGTCCAAACCTCAGAAGTTATTCAGCGCCGCTTTACTACAGAAGTACTCATCACGCTTGATTCGCAGGTTAAAAAGGTTTCGACAGAAATCAGCGAATATGCTTTTACCTATCTTCAATATCGAATTCGGTGAATTGCTGAATGCATGAAGATGACTCAATATGCGTGACAATGGTGTTTAATTAAGTAAACAGGGGACGATGGCTAACCTGGGGGGTAGACAAAAACCAAACAATAGAAGAATATCAAGAAGTGTGCTCGTGCTTGAAAATTTACAACACAAGTCCTCGTGGCGCTGTCGCTGCTCGCACTAGATAGTCGTTTAAGTATTCGTAGTATAGAAATTCGGTATCGAACATCGCAAGTTCAGAAAGGTGGCAAGCATGTCCGTTATTCGTCATACCGGTGTCCCCGCCCGCCCTCCGCTTGGAAGACCGCCACTAGCTCCAGCACTCAGAGGCCGGCCCATAGGGTCAGCCCCCAGCGGCCTGAGGGTGGTATATATTTTCCATTCAAGGACAGACTTGAATGTTGACGTTGACCAAGCAACATGATATGATGCGACGCTCAAAACCCAATCCCAAAAAGAACTACAAAGTTACGAAATTAATAAGGTCAATAAATTATTTGTAGAGATGAAGTATTACCCTAACTGTCCGCCAAAGTGCTGGTTGTTCTTGAATTCGGAATAGAGAGAAAAAAGAACATGCAGGCTATCTGTTAGGCTTCCCTCATGCACCGGAATGTCCAAAAGGACACAGATTACCTGAGATGAATTTGAGCATAAAAAAACTGAAATCCACGCCTCTCCGTTAGCCTCGGTCTACTCTTTGGAGTCATCAGAGTCAAATACCAATACTACAGTTGTAAGTAGAAGTAGTCCAGAAACTAAATCTATTTTTTAGGTAGTCGTGTTTGTATGTAAGTACCTTTACATAATCCTTGAGGCTCAAGCTTTTGTGATCCAATGCGGCTAGCTGAAGACCCACCACGTTGTCTTCTAGGTACTGCTCCATCTCCGCCGGCCAAACTTGCATCAAATTTTCTATGTCAGGCATCTTCTTCGAGTAATGGACCTGCGTGTTAATTCATTCCACTACTTTCCCCGGTTCCAGGACCAGCGTGCCAGGAGCAGCTCTATAGCTATTGTGTTTTGCAAGAAGGGATAGCATAAAGATAGAAAGAGAAAAACAAGCCGGCGCTTTGAGCGTCGCTGGACCTAAACCTTCGCCGTTTTACGGGCAAAAGCCAGTCAAGATTTGCAGCACAGCCTCTGACTATGTTAAGGGGAAAAGCCACGAATTCCTGTTATGGGAGAAGGTTACTCTGTAGCTATTAACGTAAATAAGACAGAAACATTCAAGTGTTGAACAAGGCACAAGTAAGTGTTTATCATGGCTTGGTTTCTGGTGCTAGTGCTTGCCCTTGTTCACCTACTGTAATTCATATGTCTAGTAGTACAACGCTTACAACTACAAGCACAATTGAAAATATTCGTAGTGTCGACTCGACAGATCTACTACCGCTGTTGCCGGTTTACTTCGGTGCAAGTCTCCTATCCTGGAAATCCACTGTTTGATTTCGGCATCTGTACGGACGGACCGCACTTCAGCTTGTGGGAGGTTCTGATGCTTCGATATTGATCTAAGCTGCAACTCTAGTACCGTCGGGTCGGATGGATTCAGGCAAGGCTCATCGAGTCGTGTTAAGCCCAACCTTGTTCATGGAACAAGAAGTAGTACTAGCTACGTTCTACTTGTGGTAGTGTACCCCTAGACTAAGCTCATCTATCTTCTTGAGTGGCGATTCTGATTGTTCTTGTTCACAAATAAGACTAAGAGTGTAAAAGATGAATCTAACATTGTCATGAAGATCTAGATTTTATTTGAACTGTATCCAGCAATTAGTACCCATCCGCTTTCCCGTCAGGCCTTGGAATCTTTATCATGGCGTCAACCTCACCGATTGAGGGTATGAAATCTGGTATGAAGGCCTTCAGTTTCGTGTCTAGCTCGATCGCATGAGGCTTATACCGTGTGATATACTGAAACAGCTCTTTTATCTCCGGAGACACTTTCAAATGTGCATAATCCGCAGGATTGTACTGGCCAGCCACTAGCGTCTCTTCGTCCTCCGAGGAAGACGTCGAACTCGCGTCCGACGATGAAGAATCCTGAGACGTTTTTCTAAGGCTATCTGTGTCAGTCTTGGCGAAAGAAGAAATGAACCCACATCACATGATCACTGCACTAGATATGTGCGCTCGGAATCCCTCTAGCGCAAGAACTCGTATAATTCTGTTTGGTATATATTCATAATCTGTCATCATCTTCCTGTCGTACAAAAAAATCAGTCGCTAAGAAGAGAGATACTCATACATTTACATAATCTGCATTGATGGTGCAACGCTAATTAGAATACAGTACCTTGTCCTCATTCTGAGATGCCGATATCTTCGCTTTTGGAAGTGCTTCTGGGCTGCTCTTACTTGGCGTGCTTTTTCCACCAGGTGAGCAGTTCACGCTTTTGCTCACGGAATGTTGCAATGGCTGAATGTTGTTGTGCGTGTTGGATCAGCAGCTTTTGTTGAACCCTACCTAGAAATAAAACCCTATCATCGTGGTCTCATCTTCTTCCACATATTTTCACAACTATACTGATATTTGTTCGAAGTCGGAGAACTCGGCGTAGGCAGGAGAGAATCTCAAAAATATATCTTTGCACCACCGCCATCTCCTGTCTGGGACACCTCATCTTCGATACCTTTACAACCCACTGACTCAAAGAACCGATACAGATCAATCAAAAACAGGGCACGATCAATTAATTATAAATATTAATAAGATTCTTGTACAGTGAGGTCACCAGAAACTGTAAAAAATAGATACCTCCGGCTTCCCCTTTGGACTAGGACTTGCGTGTGTTGGCACGTCGTAAAGTGGCTTCTGGTTCTGCCGTGGACTGCTATTTGGGGTCGACGCATCGTCACCACTGACGTCAATTGCCTCGTCATAAGGCTTGTCGCTATGTTGCTCTCCGGCAAGATCGTCCATTTTTTCTTAGTCTACGTACCCTGTCTGCTACTGCTTGACCAGAAACGATAGCGAATGTAATCGTTGTGCAAGATGGCCAAGGTACAAGTTTACGGATTTCAGTGCTACTGGAGGTAGATGTTGATCTAAGTAACTTGTGCTTGATATGGAATTTGCGTCTTTTCGTCGCAGATGAGGTCTTTCCGAAGAAACTGCAGAAATTGTAGTTCTCTTATCTTTATTTTGTTGCGTCTCTGGTGTCCTACGCGGCCCCGGTCCCCGTTTTTCGACTTTGAAGTTCCGGATCGTGAAGACGCCACACGTGTTAGCTGCAGCTCTTCTCGACTGCAGCTCAAAGGAAGGCCGTCAGAGAGCTATATTTCTTGATTCAGGACTTGCGTCCCACAATCTAACGCTGAGAGCCAACGAGGCTTTGGCCTTTGCGACTCTTTTCGTCTTTTCTCTTAGGGCGATGCTCTTGTTCACAGTTTGTGCACCCTCTTTTCTCCGCACGCAGAAAAAGCAGTCGCCGTTGCTTTTTTGTTTTAGCGCCCGTTATGGGCCCCGTCGCGAGCGCTTCTCGTGCGTCGAATGGAATGGAAACTCTAAATCGCCATCGACGTCGTAGTTTTTTGTGATTTCTCGTCACTGGAATTGCATTAGAGGCCTGACCACTGCTACATCACCTCCTGGGCAGTATGTGCGCCACGATGCGTTGCGTTTGCCATAATTCTGCGGTCCACCTCTGACTCTGTCGCGCACTCCTGATGCGTTAGCTACACTACAGAATCTGCAACACGCTAAAGGCAGTTGTCCAACGTTTGTGATCAGTCACGAAGTCTGCGTCGCGTGAGCAGTGCGGTCATCCTTGAGGATCTTACCAATTGTTGTTCATGAAAGATAGTTGCAAACCCACTGTGATGACTTTGACTTTTTCTGGATTGACTCTACTTCAAATACTGACGGCCTTGCGTGAATTTCTAGCACCGAGGCAGACAAAATAAATGTGATATTTCACGGGCCTGCGGTGTCCTTGCTCATTCGTGTCCTTACATGCGTTTCTATGTACAAAATTTTTGGAAACTCTGTCTTGTCCAATTCTGCTGAGTCGGGGACATTTTTCTCGCTCTGTAGCCTTTAATACACGCGTTTTTTGCTCGCTTATCTCAGACACTCGATTCCAGAAGTTGCTGTTCTAACACAAATCATGCCTCATACATCTCAGCAGCCTAGCGGTCGGTCATTCCGTTTCCGATTCCGTCCAGCTACTGCGCAAATCGAAGCATAAAATGCGAAGATACAGATAGTAGAAGTACTTCGCCTTGCTTTATAGATTTACAGCCTAGGCCTACCAGCCTCGATGAGATGATAATTCCTGAACGAGCCGTCGTTGTGCCTTGTTTGCTGTTGGTTGGTAGCTTCGCACTCCTGCGTTTATTCGCTGACCCAAAAAGTCTTTGACACCTGCTTGTTGCTGTTTTTACCTACAGAGGAAGACAATGAGAAACACGTCTTCTATTGACAAAAGACTCTCTCTGCTACTGAAATATCAACCACAACCACACACTCAGTTTTGAACTAGTTACTTACAACTAACTTAGATGCAAATTAACACTTCGTTTACTGAGCGACTACTGAAATAGCGATCCACTCGTGACCCTGGTATTAGTGCTGGCTACTGTAACATACCGTTCATTTTAGGTTTGCATACTCTAAAAAACTATTCAAATTCACGTAATCGCTATGATATTCACTGCAAATAAACCGTGCACGCCAGCAAAGAATGCAGCTCGATCCTTACGGAGTTCATCTCCCAGGATCTCTACCGTGACTGTGCATGCGACTTTATTTTCATTCAAACGCGGCAGCGCCCCCTAAGTAAAGTGATACTACCAAAACCTGCTTCTAATGACTGAGAAAGAGAATGCGAAATTTCTATACTATTCAAATTCAATACGATTACGAATGCCTTACCTGTATGTATAATACTTCTAGTACCCGAGAAGTAACTCTCATAAATATCAATCTGAAGGTGAAGATCATGGAAACGAATTTATTCTCCTCGTGGTGCATATTTACAATGTGATTGAAGGCACCAAATTTGCCAAGGATGAAGTGAGAAGGACTTTTTTCTATTCCTTCAACCATGGATGCTGTAACGCATCTGCGGCGCTCGGACTTCGATCCCCGGGATCGAAAGCTAAAAGCTGCTGACAGAGATCCCTTGCTTGCGGGAAGTCGGGCCATGGAGGGCAGTCGAAATCGATTTTGAATTTCTTCAAACGCGAATATATCTGCTCCATCTTCGCTCCTCCGACTTGGTTGTTGCCAGCAATATCATCACCGAAGACCTGGCATAATTTTTAAAAAAATGTATAATCGAAATTCTCAGTTCTCCACCGTCGCCTACCAGCACCATGTCAAGTTTCATACTTAGCAGTAACATGCACATGTTGTTCGAATTAGTTTTAGCATAATTAATTACCAACAAAATCAAGAACAAAAATACGTCCTCCGGATATGGCATGTCCCCGGTCATTAAGATGTAGAGAATGACGCCAACACTCCACAAGTCGCTAGCGGGTGTGTAGTCTCCACGAAAGGACTCTGGCGCGATGTATCCCGGAGTACCCACTATGCGATGTGCTTTGGGGCTCTTAGGGGACCAGTCTTGCGCAGTGTCAAAATCTATCAGCTTTAGTTTCCGCTGTTCCTCCTCGTTAGGCCCCTTGGCAAATCTGGATCATGTTCAAAATTTTTTCATAGTCTTAACAGGCAAATTATAGGGTTAATTTGAAGCACAACCCAAAATAAAAAGATACACATACAGGAGAGGTACAAAGTGCAGCAAGGACGAACAAAATAAGCCACGTTCACGTTGTGCTGATTAGCTACTGTCATCTTCGTACACTTACGCTTCATGAGCGTGGTCTAAAAAAGAACAAGTACTAGTACATTTACATAGTACACAACATAGAATTTATAGTACAAGACGTTTTCCGGCTTGATATCTCGATGTATGAGACCCCTGGAATGGAGATGGTCGACCGCCTTTAAGATTTCTCGCATTATCCTCTTTTAGAGCTTACCCAAATTCTCACCTAGAGAGCCTCATCTTTGACAGACACGCTCTCCGCCCCTTCAAACAGAGACGGGCAAAGATACAGCTTCTCAGAATGAATTACGGCAAGCCTTAACTTTTGCATTCCCGCTCTGGCACGTCCGTCTCGTTCAAAAGAAAATCGAAGAGTTCTCCGCCAGCGCACTTCTGCATCACGACGTAATACGCTGAGATTTATCACCATCATCAACATGAACTTGAACACTGTCTCTGGTGCCACGACAGCCACTTGCTTTTCTTTTCTGATCAATTATATAGGGCGACGTAGATATAGTTAGATAAATGGCGAAAATCTAAAGAAGAATCTTCTTGTTCATCTATGTGTAGTGGTCCTAATACTAGTAAGACCTTCTGGTAGATGTAACATCTACAGACAATGACATCAAGCTAATTAAAGTAAACCGTCCTTACCTTTATCGTCTTCGATGATCGTATCTATTCCGAGAATATTATCGCTTTTCTCGATATTCATGATGCGCGTCAGCACAGATCGCCACACCCGCTCGCCCCCACTGAAAAAGCCCTTTTTTCGCATCTTTACTATCACATCCTTACCCGTTGCCTTTTCTGTCGCCTGAAACACCTTGCTGCGGTCACCTTCATTTGCGTCAAAGCGATAGCGATAACTAAAGACTAGGGATTCATCATCGAACTATTTTAATCATAAGGTAATAATCCTTCTAATCTACTTTTTGAGTTCATCACACATTTTGTGATCATCAGGATTAGCACCAAGAGCAAGAGCAATAGACTGCCGAAGTCAGCTCTTAGATACCTGCATCGTAAAGCTTCAAGTCAAACTGGTATCGATCCTCGAGCTTTTCTGGTGGCGTGAGTTTCACAATCTCGATCTCATTCTTGGGCTGCTCCTGCTCTGTTTTGCTAGACGAAGACGTGATAGCGCGCAGAGCGCCCCCAAGGCGCGATCGTGCACCGGAATTCATCCTGTTGCTTTTCTTGTAGCACTAGTACCACTCCGAAGAAACCACGTGGAAGCAAACAGGTTGTATCATGAAGGCAGCGGCCTCAAGTAGAGGCGTCTGTAGAATTTAGGAAGGCAGCATTGACAATGACATAGTGCTTGTTGCCGCTGTAGTAGCTCGTATTTCTCAATTTACAACTGCAGTGTTGAACGAAGAAGAAGATTGATTTCCATTTCATGCTATATTTTCCTTTCTTGAAGATGATTTTGATTACCTGCTCATGCTGTTCTTGTTGACTAGATGTATGATGGGAAAGTTTTATTGGCGCGCAGCAAAGTCCAAGAACAAAGAAAAAACTCAGACGAGGATTCTTCCACTGTCAATTATACTCTCACTTCTCGCGCGCTCGACCAGATTCAATCGGTGTAGTTGTTATGAAGTGCTCTCGGACAGCTTCCTCTCGTTCTTCTTCTTCTTCTTTTTACTCTCTTGTAGAACGGCATCTTCAACATTGCGTCGTCCAGCATACAGAAGATCTAACAACATCACCATCATCTACCGTCGTCATGACAGAGCCAGAACAGACTCATGTTGATGATTAACGGTGCTTGTGACGAAATCAACAGGGAAATTCTTTCCTACTAGTACTGAAATATTAGAGGTCAGTTGACCGGAAAAACAGGAACCGAGCGCTTTCGTGGCCTCCAAGTCCAAACAAAAACAGTTGTGCTCTCAAACCGAAAGCGCAGCACGGCGCACCACCTACAACTCCTCCGTTTCATTTTGTGATATCGTCGAGTAAGAAACAAGCAGTCGGCGAGGCTGCGTGCTGTCAGTCTGACTTCTCCGTACCAAATGCGGTCGTAAAATTGATATAAGTTCAGGCATTGGCAAGATTCCCAAAAGGGCTGAAGGGGGGGGGACGTTGAATGAGACAGATCATTTTGTTGATGATGTTGTGGGTGCGTGTTCACAAATATTCGATAAAAAACTGAAATAAGCGAGTAACTACATAAAATAAGCGAGATACTGAACAAGGACGGGTAGCCCTGTCAAAGCTGCCTCCCTTATTTCAGTCAGTAACTCAGTTATTTTCAGTTTTCAAGTACTTAAAATAATCGGGTTCATTTACTAGAGTGAATAGGATCGCGTAAAACTCGATGCTATACTAGCTGATGTGCTTTCGGCGATCAGGAATGAAAATGACAATTACTTAATATGATGGAAATTGTTACTATAAAAACGACATCATATTATCGATCATAGCTGCCGCATGTGCGAGGGCAACAATCGCTACAATCTTTGGGAAGATGTAACACCAGCACTTTTTTCGTTGAATCACCTTCGTAGGTCTAGCACACATGCGTGGATCTTGATTTGACGAAAGCGTTTCTTCATGAAGACGAGGGCGCAAGAACTTAAAAATGAAAAAACTACATCCAGCATTCTACATCAATTGGTAGTGCGGCGCACAGTCGTGGGGTGCTACATGACCATGAAGATTGCAGAAATTCAAAAACAAACAGATAGTGTCAGATGTTTGTTAATTTTTGCGCAAGTAGAATTACATTTGGGGCACAGACAATTCTGTGAGGCAGGTAAAACAAGATCAAGATCTTTAGTATCACAATCGCATGGCATGCATACTACTTTTTCCCGCTGGTCTTCATCACAGCTTTCATTTTTGTCGTCGCGCCCTTCTTGCCACCCTTTGCGTTTGTGTTGCTGTTCTTCCTCGTCGCTGGTTTGCTCTTGGTCTTACCGGTGCTCGCGCTGGCTTTTGTCTCCGGCTTTTTCTCATTTGTTTTGCTCTTTTTTGTCGAGGACTTCGTGCTGGATGCGGACCCAACGGGCGTAAGATCTATTAGAGCTTGCCTCCTTTCTACGAAGATTGGTCTGCTGTCGCAGTCGCTAGTACTCTTATTTTACTTGTTACAGCACGAATGCCATCAGTAAGTTTATCAACCACAACGATCCCGTAGATGATTGTGAAATGTCGATTCCCTCGTCCAGGACTTTTCTGTTCAAAGTGGTGAGTTAGATACAACTTAGGTAAGACAACAAAATGTTTTTCTTACCTTGAGATTCTTTACGTCGGCTTTCTTTTTCAGAATTGTCGGATACTTTTCTGTCCAGACGTCACACCGGTCAAGTCCTCTCTCGCTGAAGAAGAACTCCGTAGCCTTCTCGTTTTCCGCATACATCATCACCAATTGGTGATTCTTGGGCACATCCATTGAGGTCTGGAAAAGCTGAGAAAAGGATGAGGGGTCGCAAGTACTTAATTGGTTCTGGGAATAGGCCACAAGCGCAATAATGAAACTCCTTACTTACAACAAGCACAAAAAACTCCACAAAAATCAGTACTAGCCACGACGACGACGCACGACCCGTACAAATTATATATGGAGGACAACTACTACAACTGGGTACGAAGTAGAAGTACCATTGACGCGAACTCCTGCTGCCTCTTCTGCCCTTTTTTCGGTGAGTCTTCGATGAGCAAATGGGGGTGTGAAAAGTTCACAGTGACACGCTCATTGGGTCCGGGACACTGGCAGAACTGTGGCTGCGAAGCAGGATATGGCACTGGATTGATGAACCTGAGGATGTATATATGTTATTCTTCTTTGATGTTACAGGGCTTGAAAATGATTGTGATTGTCTCACAGGGTCTAAAATAGGAAATCGGGTTATACGTTCCATCTGCGCACTCAAATCCCCACTCTTTATCCGCCTCTGGCATCTCGTTTTCCGGGTATACTTTGCCCCAGAGCGCCATCCTATACCCTCTTGGTAGATCCCTTCCAGCCACGAGCATTTTACCTGGTGGTGGTACTTCATTCCGTCCGTAGACTGTAATGTGAAAAATGTACTACCTACTAGTACAAACACGAGAAGTTGGTCCGTTCTGTGCTCCTTCATCATCAGTATTCAATGAATTACAAAACAACTGTCAGCTGCATCATGAGCAAAGTATTCTTCACGTTCACATTGTGTTGATTGTATGTGCACTAGTACAAGTAAGTACTTACTTCTAGCAAAGTTAATGGACTTTACCGAATCTCGGATGCGGCATGACTTTGACTGATGGGTCGCCGTTTTTCATGCACTTTTTGCAGTACGGTACAAATGGTTCAGCCCATTCCTCGTTACATTTTTTGCCGTCCAAAAACGTCGCGATGCAAAGACCCGAAGCAAGTCCATTCTGCTTGCGCTTCTGCTCTGCCGGTGCAGCAAATGGCCGAGCAGCTGAATTCGAAGATACGGAATTGTTTGAAGAGCAAGAGACAGCTGATGAGGCTTTTATTTTACTAGAAGACATGATCTTTTTTACCTTTGATAGTAATGAAGACTTGATTGGCTTGTTCAGTTTTTTGATTTTCATGCTCTTGTTGCTGGTGGACGCCACGGGATTCTTTTTGTCAGCAAGATCAACATGATCTACTTCTCTTTTAGAACAACGACGAGAGGAAGGACTAGTAGAGGATAATTCGGGTTCTTTCTTGTTCTTGTCCTTGGTGTCGTTTTTTCCAGTATATTTTGGCGAAGATGTTGATGAAGCTTCGACTTTCCTCTTCATCGCGTTTGCTTCGTCCGTCGAAAAAGACGAGCAAGATGATGTCGATGCAGGCGCTTCTTGCTTAGACGAGGGCTTTTGCTTCTCATTCTTGCTCGTCCTCTTCATTACGTTTACAAGTGGTGCTTCTGCTGGTTTCGCGAGGTTCTTTAACCTTATCTTCTTGATTTTATTGGAAATGGATGGCGACGAGAATGATGAAGATGCACTGCTTCTCCAGTTATTGACAGCTTTCGGAGAAGTTGGAGCAGCTTCCGATTTTTTCTTTTTCGTTTTTTTCCCTCGTCCGCCAGCATTGTGCGAGAGAACCGGAATTACATCAGCATCAGCACCTCGCTTTTCAACGACCTTCATGGCAGGGGTTGAGTCTAACAAGTTCGGTAGCATACGATCTTCAACTGCAGTCTTTTCCTCTCGATGAACGTTTAGCGGGTCGCTCGTGTGGTCGTCTTTTCTCGCCCTTGCAAACAGTTGTAGATCCTGTGCTACCTCCCTAGAGCAAGAAGCAAAGCCCCGATGGACGATGTCGTTGTCTGCCTCAACTTGTTGTAAGCCTGGATGGACACTCACAGCACCATCTCCAAGAAGCCCGCCACTATCCGCAGATTGCCCTTCTTGCTCATTGAGTTTACAACTAACCGAAGTGGTCACTACTTTTTCTTCAGCATCTCCTTTCTTCTTCATCTCTTGATCATGTATGTGTAGAAGGCCAAAAGAGGCATAATTGCGCCGCCGTTCGTAGGCTAGCTCTTCCTTATTCGGGTTTTTGAGCGGTTCCCATGAGCCCGACCCTGGCCGGGCGTACCATGGAGGCATATCTATTTTTTCTCGACGCTGGCTGTAGTCAGGCACTGGAGATTGATCTTTCATTTGTCGTCCTACAGCTACTTGATCTTTATCTTGATGTTCTTTCGGTTGTCTTGGCAGCACTTCTACGTGATCTTCAGCCTGGTGCTTCGCATATGATACTCGCTGGTTCTTCGTGGTACGAGTATTAGCATTCACATTGTTATTGGGAGAGAACACAGGACTAAGAGGTTCACTCAGGTCCGCAGCTAGGAGATTCGTTGGGGTTCTGTCGAGGGCCGCGCTCACCTCTTGACCCCACCCCTCCGCGGCAGGGGTAATTAGCCCTACATGATCCGCGTTCTGGTTGAGGGTGCTCGGCATGTCTTCAGACCCAGTACAATACTCAGCCGGATCCCTGTTGGGGTAGTAGCTCACGCCTCCAAAGTCGCAGTCGTCGCCATAGCTATAGTCACGCCAGTCGACATGTCGGTCGACGTCAATTAGCTGATTCGGGTTGACTTCAGGCCCCATCAAGCAGACCGAAGACAATTCTGTGCCATCAACTGCACATGATGAAGAACTGCTGCTCGACGACGATTTTTTTTCAACGTCACGGCTGGTGGTGGTGGTCTTTGCGCTCTTGTTTTTGCTAGAAGGAGAACAAGACGACGTCGCTGTGATATTCGACGTCATTGCCTTACTATTGCCACGTCCTGCAGTTGTGACCGTTCTCGCTGATGTTGTTTTCTTGCCGACGACTGAGGAGAGAAGTTCTTGCTCACTCTTCGACCCTTCAAATTCTGACATCTCCGAGGATTTGGGGGACATTGCGCCACCCAAGAGCAAGCGCTTGTTTGGATCCTGCTCTATCCTACCAGTTGCAAACACGCCTTCTGACGCTGTAAAAAAGCCGGCTTCGCCATGGCCTATTTTTGCGACGTCCGAGTCGCCCGTAAGGCCGCCTCTTTCGATGCCCTGCTCCTGTAGATATACCGAAAAAGCCGGATTAACGTCGCCTTTTTCTGTGGAGACAATCTGCGAATCTCCTGTCAGAGCGCCTTTCTCGATGCCATTTAGAAGCTCGCCCAACGCAGGATTGCGGTTTCCTCCGCTGAGTGTAGACGTTTCTCCTTGAAGAAGAGCTGCGTCGGGGCCGTCCGGCAGTGTTGCATTCGGGAAAAAGTGCCCACCTACGCCGATCGTGGTCGTGATAACCCTCTTGTTGTCTTCTTCTACTTGTTCTTCATCTTCACAGATGGGCGCCAAAGCGTTAGAACCTTTTTTACACACAGGCGGAATAATTTGGGTGCTGTCGATGTTACCACAGAAGACGCTGCTTTCGGCAGGCGTCAAGACAGCACGAGGGCGGCCGTCCTCGACAGGAGTTGTAGAGACCTGACTGTTGTTCGAGAAGGCGGACGTGGGTTTTGACGACGAGGATGAGCTGCTGCAGGAGCTCCTAGCCACGGGTGCTTGCTGCAGTAGTGTTTTTGCATCGTTATGGCTATCGTTCTTCTTCTCACCACGACTAGCTCTAGTAGACGTCGCAGGCATATTCTTTTTCTTTTTGGTACCCGCGGACCACTTCATTACGGGAATATTGCTTTTCAACGCAACCGATGAAACCTTTTTGGCACTAGACGAAGAGGCAGGGCGCGTCTTGTTGGGTCGACTGGGTGACGAGGGATTTTCACCAGCTGGCATTTTTGTCGGAGACTTTTCGCTTTTTTTCGTCGAGGACCCTCGCTTATGATCCTTCGCCTCTTTATTCTTCTCGTTCTTGTTCGTAGAAACGCTGGCTGCCGGTCCGGGTACATTTTTCATCGACGTTGAAAAAGGTTTAACCTTTTTAATTTCACTCTTTTGCTCTCCAAGTGCTGCAGACTTCTTCTTCGTCAGTTTCGTCGTCTTTTTACTCGTCGCAGACGTCGAGAAGCATGATCTGGGCTTCTTCATGACAGAGGCTGCCTTTTTTCGAAGAGCGGCGAGCTTCCCTGTTTTCGAGGCAGATTTTTTCGCCGGGGCAGTAGCCTTCTTGTTGTCTTTAACCTCCTTCTTTTTTCCCCTACGAGAAGTTACTTCTTGCTTTTTTCCTGAGGTGGAGGAGGATGAGGAGCTTGACGCCCCTGTGCTTTTCATCGCTGGTTGATGTGCTTTCTTCATCCTCGTGTATTGTGAGATATCTATTTGATGATGTACTAGAACATCTACTACTTCCGGTAGCAGCACCACTTCCTCTTACTAATGTTGAAGAAGACGGGCTTACTTTGAGTTCTGGTTGTTCTTCATGAAGTGGAAGTACAAGTATTTTGATGTAAGTGGTCAGGGCGGACGCTGTTGATAGTACTGTCCGTGCGACGGTCATTGATTTAATACATGAGGAGTTTTCATCATTTCCACGAATAATAAACAGCACTAGATGTTGCTGTCGATACAACTTTTACATCATCTTCATGGCATCAAATCTAGAGGGAAGGTTACAAATACAATATATTTTGAGAATTCCATTGCATTTCCAACTCGGTAGACATGGTAACAGGTATAGAAATAGATTTACTTATACTTAGAACAGAAAATACAACAGATGGTAATTAACCAAACTCACATGTAAGAGGCCTATTGATTCTTGTAAAAACATGCCACTTCTCCACTTCAAGAAAACGCCTCTTCACGCTCTACAATCTTCCTGCGATTTTTGGGAGATGTTGATGTCATAAAAAATTACCAGCTGGCGCCACGGAAATCGACTTTGAGCTGACGGACGGCATTTTTTGTTCACGTGATTGCAATGGTCCCATGTACTATTGTACCCGCCTATCTCAGTGAGTGTACGTTGTCAATTACCTCGATACAAGTAAGTTCCTCTTCCTGTAGTTCCACAACAAAAACAAGCAACAAGAATTAAGTACCAATCAACAGCAATCTCACTGATTGAAAAGAGTCAATAGATCAACTCATTTATTATCAACATATTAACGAGTTACTACAAATAACGTAAAATCAGATCAGAATCACTTTCGCGAAAAAAAAAATATCTGGAATCCCATGGGGTAAAGCTATAGCTGATAATGTGTCGTACTAGTCATTACTTCCTTCGTCAATACCTTCAAAGTGCATCCACTAGTGTAGATGTAGTCCAATTAGTATTAGTATCGCTTGCACACTAGTAGTAGTAATAGAGTCCAATCATTCTCCCTGCTGGACCCTGCGTCTTCTAATTCTACTTGAAAATGAAATACAAATAGCAGGTGACACCAAATGAAAGTTCGAAATTCAATCATCGTCGCGACACTTTTTTGTGGCCATTTTTTCTCATTTTGTTCATCAGAGTGCCATCATCTAATAGACTTATTTGCGTCTGCTCTTTCCGATTCAAGAAGCATTTTTTAAGAAGCATCATGCAATTCACTACACGGCTATCAACGACGAACACGAGAGAAAGAAAGGGATATAACCACACGAATTTTGAGGGTGCTTGTTCTTTGAACGACAAAGCGCGTCCTGAAGATCGTGTAGAGGAGAAGAGATTTGAATGATGACGTAGCTAACGACTTGAAAAGTCCACGTGAACGGTTGGTCACATCACTGTCTAGCAAAACCGTGCTCCTCGCTAGATGAATGAAGTGAAGGGCGTCACGTAAAAAAAAGGCGAGTGGAGAGTTCAACGTGAGTCTTCAAGGATTATGCGTCAGCGGAGAAACAAAGGAAAGTCATACCCGACAGAGAATGGTATCTCTGCAGCGTACTTACATGAACCTCATCGGGGTTGCACGAAGACATTATGTTTTGGGGACGAAAAGGTAGTATGTAGGTCACTTGGTTCAACCACTTGATTCAACCATATGCTGTGCTGGCGGGAGCAAGCCTTCTTGCCTAGGCATGAGCGGTTGGAATACTCCTGGTGGTGACACCGGCTTGCCTTTGGCTCCCTTGCCATTGCCTTTCAGAAGTATACCTCCACTATGCTGTCCTCCGTTGTCTTTGCTGGTTGGAGATATTGCCCGTCGTGCAACTGCAGCAGCGAAGCTTGGAACTGGTACTGCGCCTGGAGGTGGACCGATCAGGAGTCCACCTTTCTCGATTCCTGGTGCGTCAGCTCCCTTCGCACCAACGGGATGCGGAGGACCCCCGCCTTTCATGTCTACCATGCTCTTCCCGTCCTTCATATTTTTGCCACCACCCGGAGGGGGAGCTATTAATGCGCCTGGCGGCACTGCTGTCGGGGGCTTCGGCGTAACGCCGATTGGGCCCTTGCCTGCTGTTTGGCCATTTGAGAAACCTGGCGGTCCAGCAGGTGGTGGCCCCTTGTTTGTTTCTACTGCCGTTGCATTTGCGCCTTTCATACCTGAGTAGGGTCCGCTAGAGATTGATGAAAGAGGAGCAGGAACGCTTCCTTTATAGTGTCCGACCAATGCTGTGCTAGATGACTTCGATGCGCCGCCGTAAGGATGCCAACGCTGGTGGTCATGATGATCTATCTCAGCAGGACTGAAAGAACTCCCTTTGGAATCTTTCGCACCTCCTGGTGGAGCATGGGGAAAATGTTGAAGATAATGCTGCTGTTGGTGTAGCTGTCCTGGTGGTCCCGAGCCAAAAGCAGCCGCGTCAAGGTGCCCTGTTCTTGAAGATGAGGGAGTACCTTCGCCATGATAGTCCGCAAGGTACGCACCCTTGAGCCCTGAAGGTCTAGTAACCGAACCTCCTTTTGTCGGATATAGCGACGACGCTGAACCTGTGAAGCCATTTGCCCCTTTGTAAGATCCTGCTCTGCTCGGCGATAGAAATCCACCTGAGTCAGGACCACCTGGACCGCCATCAGTCGCGGAAGACTCATCGAGGTCAAGGGCTAAAACCAGGGGTTTCTTCGCTATCTCCGCAGGACATATTGCACTCATACCAAGTCCTCTGCCACCCGCTACTTGCTTACTTTTATTGAGCGCAGAAGTTGTTGTTGCAGATGTTGAAGAGGAGGAAGTATTTGTGCCCTGTTGCCTAGCCTCCCACAGCAACCGCTGCTTTTCGTGTTCCCGAAGCTCAGCTCTGCCTCGGAGCAAGGGCCGCAACCGTGGGTAGACGCTCGCAAGCCAGTCAGGCTCGGTGCGAGTAAGATCACGACCCAGAAAACCTTTCCAAAACGGGTCTTCGTCGCAAAACAAAGTACAGCCTGCACGCGGACCAGTGGACAATGGTGCCTGCACGTCGAACGGACTCGCTTTGTAGTTGCTGTTATTCATAGCTTCTTCCTCCAGCGCGAGTAGTGGGAGTTGCTCATCCACCCCTCCAAAGCCAAAATGACCAGCAGCGAATCCCGTTGTACCATCGTCGAGACCGCTACTTGCGGACAACTCCTCATCTATATCAAGCGGCTCGTCCTCGTCCTCGCCTTGATGGTGCACCACTCTCCTGCTTAGTGATGTTGTACTAGAAGACACAGCAGCAGGGTGCATTGATGAAAATTGCTGTAACTGCATCGGATCTAAAACCGGTGTATCGTGAACAACGACGTAGGTTCCAGGCGGGAGATTTGTCTGCAATGCTGGCGGATGAGCAGCAGGAGGTGCTGCAGGCATTATGTCGTACAGGCTCTGTAGTGGAATCCCACGACTTGAAGACGCATGGAGTGGAGGTCTGGCAGCAGAAGGAGCATCGAAAGGACCCAACTGGTGATGCGGCAAAGCCCTGCATTCGGGGCTTTTGCGAGGCCGTTCCGTTGGCGTTGCGTCGTCCTCTTCAATAATGTTCAACGCACCATCGTCACTCAAGCTAGGCTGCAGCAATTCCTCATTCACATCATCGTGATCGTCTCTTGCTCGCAAAATAGGTGAAGATCTATTTGCTCTACTTCCACCTCCACGGTTATTGAAAGTTGGAAATGTTGACAGCTCTTCCTTTCGAGGAGGTGGCCCGCCTCTGTAGCCTCTTGACGACGCAGATGTGTGATTGCGGGTAGCGAAGCGGGATGTTGTTGCGCCTAGAATGGGGCTATCAGGAAATCTTGAGGATGCTTTAACCGTGATGATCGCGTTCTTGTCGCCGCTTTCCTTCGCCTCCATGAGGTCCAGCAAGTCATCATCATCGTCATCAACTATCGCGACTGGTGGTGCGGGTTTGGGTATTATCGGGAATCTGCTTCTGTGCGACGGCCCTGGTCCAGGCGCGACGTACGGTTTCCCGCCTCCAGGTGGAGCGGGAAACCGAGAACGCGAAGAAGGTGCAAGTTGGCCCTTGTTTTGCTGATTGCCTTTTCCGCTGTGGTGGTCGACAGTGGACGACACGCCACTTGTAGAAGAAGGGACAGCTACAGAAGACCCAACGCCAACCACGACAACATCAGTCTTTATTGTCGCATCCTCTACATCTTCTATTTTTGGTGTTGAAGCTACTTCATTTGCAGCATCCTGCAGTCTTCTTTCCGCTCCTGCTTCATCAGGAAGATGCTCTGCCGCAGCTGCGTCCACAACAGGAGACAACCTGGTTTTGTTCCACGGCGACCTTGTTGTGCCATCGCCATTGTTTTTTGGAGTGTCTTCTTCTTGTCCTTCGTTTTTTGCTTGTCCACGTTCTTCTGAATCTGAACTAGACAAGTCAGAGGCTATGCTGCGCACATCGTCATCTTCGAATGCCACCTCCTCAGCCGGGTCCTCCATTTTTTAGCATGGAAGAGCCGAGACGAGAGGAGCAGCTCAGCCTAAAACCTACCGTAGAGACGGTCCACCACAAAGAGTAAAAAGCCCAGCTCCTGTACAAATTGCGAGGATTTCTGCTTCTCTTCGTCGTCGCCACTTCCGGCAGGTCATAATTGGTCCCGTCGGCCGCACAGACGCTTTCGTTAACTCGTCGCTTTCGGCATCGGCTGTGATCCTTTACCTCCACTTACATCGCATCAAAAATATCAGGCAGATTAGACACAAGAGATATCATTTATGTCGAATTCTATGTATTCAAAAAGCTATCGCTGTTCTAAACTTCACGAATGTTTACCAGGCATCTGATCTTCCATCGTGGTAGACGCAGAAGACACTAAACTACAACATACTACATAATTGAAAAATGCAGAATCAGAATCTTCTTCTTGTAAGGGATCGCTGGGAAAACGCGGGCGGGTACATGTTGTAGATGTCTTGAGCATGAACATTTTCTCGACGAGGAATAATATAGTCGACGATGCAGTGAACGATTTTAGAAACGACCAGTGAATGTGAGTAAGCACACCTTCACGAGTGACATGATAGCAATTCAGCATCAATTGTGTAGAAGAGAGGAGACCACGATGCGGATCATGCACTACGACCGCGCAAAAGTGGAGAGCCACATTTTCATCATACATGTTGAACAGAACGTAGACACAGATCAGATCGACACAAACAAACCAACATCATATTCTCCGCGATCTGTGAGGCGGCACACAAACGATGTAGTGTTCGATCGTCTTTCCTGTGGCGTCCTCCGTAGGTATGTCCAATTTTCAAGATCATGAAGAAGCACTCAGGAAAGAAGCCGTGGTCACGATCACCTATAGCGGATCATTAATATGTACTCCATGATTCGTCGACCACAGTGGCGCTGGCGCAAGCATCGTGGTATCAAATATTCACCTACAGAACAAGATCCTATCGTCCGCGTAACGACCGTCAAAATGCTCACGCGTTCGAACAAATTCTCAATGAGCGTTCACTACAACTACTCTCATTTCAAAATACAATCTATTTCGAGCGGGAGAAAGCGTGTCAATGTCACGACGAGCAGCCGCTTCGACGCTCCACCACATTGCGTTCTCTAATATTGACGCAGACATGTATGATAGACATTGTGTAGGACTTTTCTTGGCGTGAAGCACGAATAGGGCGAAGAGATCATGAACTTCGTTCATGATTAACATTGGATAACATTGTCATAATTTTTTGATCAACGCTAATGGTAATACAACAACACAGACTCATACTTGGTAAGTACATTATTACATGTTTCCACTCACAACCCATCGGCGCACCAGCTACTCCTGACAACTTTTCATAGAGCTTTAGATTTTTTTTTTTTTTTTTCATAGAGCTTTAGATAAATCCTCAAGTTCAAAGTACTTGCCAGAAGACGAAGCCGCAGAGGATCCGTTTTTTTCGAGAGGATCCGTTTTTGTTTTATTCGAGAGAATCACAATCAGGAGCATCACCATCGGCACTAGAAGCCATCGCCGCTGCTCTCCGACGCAACCACCTGAAGCGTGCCTCTTGCTCTTCCGCAACCTGAAGCGTGCGCTGCAGCTCGTAGTATTGCTCTTTGAGACCACCACAAGCGGGCAGCAGTCGGCTTGGTTCCACGTCGTCCCCCTGCTCGGCAATACCAGATGCGAGACGTCTACTCAGTTCCTGCACGCGTGCGTTCAGCTCGACTAAAGAGGGCTCACCTGTGCTCATGCTGGTAGGAGTGCAAGGGGCCGCTGACGTGTTGTTCTTGATATTGTGCTCTTCATGTTGATCATCATCATCTGCGGGTGAAGATGCGCAACTCTTCTTCGACGAGGACGAAGAGGAAGCTCCTGACATAAGTTCCACATCTGATTGTTGATCACCGCGGCTCTTTCCTCGGTTTCCGATTGTATTAGTTGTTCTATTCGAAGTGGTCCAGGAGGATGTCGCATTTCTAAACCCGTCTGATGAAATGATCGTCGAAGAGGTTGTACTCTCGTCTTCGTCTCCTGAGTCCTCGTCCCCTAGTCTGCCCTCGCCACCTCCCCCTTCAGCATCAGCATTCTTGCTCCCTTTCCCGTTGCACAGCCGCTTTCGAAACAGACGCCGCGAACGGACGGTGCTTCCACGCCCTCCTTGATCCGGATCGATGGTGACACAGCGATCAATGCAACACATAGCCAGAACAATGATCAAGAAAGCTTGCACGCAATAGGCTAGAAGGAGGGAAAACTGTGAAGATTTTGTTTGACGTTTTTCCAAATAATTCAGGTCTGAGGATTTCGAGCAGGAAGTACAACGAACTGGTTATATCTACTAATATAATCGGGGCTACACGTTGGGTGACCACTAGCTGCACTAACCTAGTATGAACACCAGATGAAGGGAAAGAATCAGGAGAGTAGTAACTACATACCACTGCCCACGGTTCTTCCTGCATGAATTCGAGTGTGCTTTTTTCAGTTGGAGGAACCGAAAAATAGAAGTCCCCCGATGCCATCATCGCCCCGTGCTTTCCGAGGCCCACTGTTCCCCTTCTTCCGCGAGACTCTTGTACACCGATGGCCAAATGGGCAGACTCGTACCCTGGCAGCGCAGAAAGCGAGTGCCACGTATTCTTCGGAACAAAGAGACTGTCACCGGGAGCCATAACCAAGGTCGTGTTGTCTGCAAATTTCCACTGCTTGTACCCGCGAACCTGCAAAATAAACTCGTCCATGTCATCGCTATGTGGCCCCAGCGTAGGACTCTTGTGCTGGCCGCCTCCACCAGCGACGTGTGGGGAATGGTCATCATGATGATCATCATGCTGCTCAAGCGCGAGTTGCTGTTGGGCGTTCTCTATTTTTGGTGAGTAGTAAAGGTTGATACCAAGTTCACGTGTATGCTGGAAGAGGTGTAGAAATTGCGTATGCAGGGACCGCATCTGACCACCGAAGCGCTCAAGGCGTTGGACTCGCAACATTCTCTCTTTGCGCTGAGAAAAGTCCACCAATTCTGCGAATGACGATTGACTTGGAATCTTTCTTGCATCGTCCACTCCTAGATCGCCAACTCCTTGGTCAGGGTCAGTGACATCTTCGCCTTGACGATAATCGCTGTCCGCATCTGTCAATGCCCGAGTGTTGAGTTCTCGCAGCTGCGTTGCCTCTTCTAGAGCAAACGTAGCCGTCGAGGACGACGTTGTGACTCGATGTGGAGGTTTATAATGTAGCAATTCTTGGTTGTCGGACCGGCCGTCGTCAAGCCTTTCTGAGCCACTCCCTCTCTTCCGCCTGCTACTGCCTTTAACGGACTTCGAACTTCCGACTGTCTGATCCTCACCCCCAGAGCCGCCAGTTCTTCTTCTCCTGCGGCGAGTAGTAGTGGAGGACGAGCTGCCTGCAGCAAGAGCGTCATGCGAGGATGATCCGGGTGCAATCGCGTCGGCTTGCAGGTGATCATTCGCTGCGAACATGCTTGCGAAGGACTCCTCCTGTGTGCGCCACGGCAACATCAGGATTGACTTTAACTTCTGCAACGAAAACACGGTTCGAAAACTGTGCGCAAAAGCTGCCCAACCTTTTCGGCGCAAACGGACGATGGTGCTGGAGCTGTTCCCACCCAGGGACACGCCTTCATAGGTAGGAACGACTGGGCGCGAAGTTGTAGACCAGGATGTCGAAACATGCTCCAGAACATTCTGAAACTCATGTGCAGTTGAATCAGCTGCAGCTGCGCTGCTGCTTCCATCAAGGCTTCCTTCTCTGGCTTCTCCCGATGCTGCGGTGGGTGCAGTGCCATTCTGGCCTGGTGGCGATGCAGGTTCTATCGACGAAGAAGTGCTCGGTGGTGTGTTTCTCATTTTCACACGTTGTGCTACCTTCTTTCTGACATTCGACAAGGGAGGGACGAAGTCAACACCCATTCGCCACCACACGAGCGAATTCATTCCTAAAGCAATCGCAATCTCATCGCCAATAGTCGTAATAGACCCAGCCGCATTCTCAATGAACCTTGCGAGGTAGAGAGTCATAAGGACATCTTCATCACTTGCTAGACTCAGCACGGGGTCTCTCGTCTTGACTTGAATTTTCACACACCACGCTAAATAATGATGAATGGAATAGATTGTAGGTTGTTGTAATTTCACTCCCCGGCGTTTAGATCATCTAATTGGAAACGCACACACTTGAGTTAAACAAGGGGACTAGGGAGGTTGTTCGGTAGCAATAGTATCTGAAACCGAGCACCATGCTAAATAAATCAAGGAATCTGAGTGCAGCTGCAGTGGGCCTATTGCCATGTAGAACAAGACCACGGTAAACACAAAATCCATAGTCAGATACCGGGCAGCGTTCCGGTCACCAGAAAATAAACCAGTGCTTCCCAGGCGATTCCCGTCTCCCGTCACTGCGTAAGTCGAGCCAGAAGCGTGACTATTTCCGCTCCCTCCGCCCCGTAGTGTATTTTTCAAAGATGCCGATATTTCTCCAGCACCGTCGACTTCAACATCGAAGTCGCCAGATCCCTCATCTTCATCCGCGAAGTAAGAGCTTGAAAGCTCTCGCACGTGCGTGTCGCAGTCGGCCTCGTTCTCGTCACATATTCTGCGGCGAAACCAGACTACGGTGTCATTCCTCTCCTGAAACCACTTCCAGTTGTACGGCCTAAAAAACTGATTCGCCTGGCGCAGCTGGGCGTCGGACGTCCAACGGCTCTCCACGGGGACATTTTCTTCGACGACTAGGACCATGTTTTTGGTGAAGCGGATAGTTTGAAAAGTAAGAAAAGACAGCAAAGTTACTATTAACAAAAGTCTGCGAGCCGACTGGTCTTTTGTTCTGCGGCAGAAAAAAATATAGCACTCACGGCCCTGCGTCTGCGGTGTCCGCTGTGCCTCGGGTGCGGCTCCATTTGCAAAATTATATAAAATATAAAAAAAGTCTTGACCTCTACTTAAGGGAGGACATTTTTTCTCCCTCGTCTCTGGTCTTGTTCTCACGGACGACGTCGACCTTTGTCGTTTAAAACAAGAATAAAGTCTGAGTTTCCCTTTCTCGCCTTTTTGTTATTGGTTCAACATCTTTAAAAAATGGACATAAATCTCAGACGAGAAGAGCAACAGTAGACTAGCAGTTTCGACGGATGCCTTGATCGTCCGTAAGATTGTTCAGCAAAAGCATGGTCCTCAGCCAATGCTTCTGGATATTTAATTTCACTTGATGTTCATCTTCATCTGTACTACCTTCCTCGTCTGCTTGATTTTCAACTTGATGATCATAGGCGGTTTGAAACTCAGTACAACCTACATCAAAGCAGCTACTACCTTAATCTTTGCTTCCTGCGCATGAAGATGTTATGAGCCTTGAAAAATGTCGATGAAGCCTTCATCTCTACGAAGACCTTCGACAATGAAGATGGCGATAGTTGAAAACGCATACAAACAAAAAAGCAGAATAAATTCAGGTTCCTTATGGAGGAGAGTCGGGAGAGTCGAATTTTCAGTCAGTGCCAAGTTTCTTGTATCATCTGATAACACGAGATGAATCAAGCAAAGGATTTTCTTTCACGGATAAACCTAAACGAACATTCGCGGTAATGTATTATCTTTCCTACTGTTGTTCTACTGCTACATTGTCAATCAACTTACCGGGGAAATGAATGACACCATCAAATCTTGGGGAATGATGGCGCTTCATATTGTTTAGTACTCCTAACAGGACAGGGTCTGGCTTACTATATGATGAATCAAGATGGAAATTGAAGATCCTCTCGTTCTAGCGATATCAAAGTGGCCGAGTACAACGGGACGGGGACATCAAGTGGTGCTGGTAGTTTATGATAATGCTGATCAAACTTCTCTTGAAAACAAGATGTTGTAACTCTTTCCGCCCCACTCGATTTCTCTCCGGTAGGCACCCGGGCCGGGGCCGATACCCCGACCTACCCCAGCAAATCGATCTATGCTGCACGAGAACCCGGCTTTAAGCTCCTTCGGTGGCTTTTTCTGCTGTTTGTAAGTTCCTGGGCCAGGTTTCTGGTCGGTCGGCAGCTCATGAAACCGTCTTGTGCTACCGAGAAAGCCCTCACTTCTTGGTGGTACACGGGCCACACGGCCGACTTGATTCGGAAGTCGAGGACTGATGTGAGTGTGGTCATGGTATCTAAAAGCATACGCTGCAGGGGAAAGTGCAGGAGTCATGAGATTAGATCCACTCATCTCACCACGGCCTGTGGCTCTATTGTACGGGAATGTTGGTGAACTGCAAAGTGCTACATACATACACAGTCGTCTCACCACGACCTGTCGAGTATCCTCAGTAAATCAGAAAAAGAATGACCAGCACAAGCACCAGTCACAGTGTTGCAAGAAGGTGCTGCAACATTAATTACCTGTAAGTCCCTGGTGGTGGTTTCGTCTCGCTTGTTGCGAACTTGTCTGATTTCCGAAGTGGCTTTTGGAAGGCAGCAGACGTTTTGTCGTCCGTCTTAAAACTACTAGGCAAGATGTAGGCGCCAGGCCCTGGCCTTACCTCGCCACTCCTTTTGTGGAATCATGTTGAAGAAATCGGATCACAATTTCTTGTTGATATAATCAAGATGGCACTTCTTCTTCTAGATGTGGAGGAGGAGTCTTCGTGAGCAGGTCGAAAACTATAATGGGCGGGAGTGAAATGATCACTACACCTCTATGTACATCATCAACACAGCCTTCATCTTTTCTAATAAGCTGAAACAAGGTAGTAGTAAGTACTCGTCCACTGAGCTATTCGGTGCGTCCTGTGTCTTAGGAATGGCTAACTCTTCCGCAGACTTTGCGGGTTCCCTGTGCTTGAACCTGCGCGCTGTAGTGCCAAAGGCGAAGGTGCCCTGATTCGACATTAGACTAAACGACCTTGTTATCGCGCTCTGATTATCCATGGCAAGCGAGTCTTGGTTCTGCCAACCGAAAAAACCGTCGGTATTTGACGCGTTGTACGTCCCAGGTCCAGGTTTGGTCTCGAACAGACCCCCTTCTTTCCACCTGGCGCCGTCGCGAGCGAAATTCGAAACCGTCTGAGCAGACGTTGCTATTGTATTCGGAAAATCAGTATAAGCGCCGGGTCCAGGTTTCACTTCTTTACTTCGCTGCGGGAACCGTCTTGCCTTCAGTAGAGTAGTACGGAATAAGGAAAGGACGAGGTTGTGAGTGTTTGCAGAGAAGGGATCATATGGCTTATAGATATCTAGAAGGTTGTCGAAAATATTCTCTGTAGCATTCATAATCTTCAAGAGGAAGAGTGAATCTGATTCCGAAGCGTGCGAGCACCATATTCTTTTGCTTGGTTATCTTGGTATCAAATATGCTCCTGCAAGAAGAAACACGATGTTGGATACCGTGCTTCCAAAAAATTGATAGTCGCCACGCGAAAATGCTTTTTTTGACGGCGCCATTCCAGAGCTCGAGGACTCTGACGTATACTGACCCGGCCCCGGCTCCTCTTCCGCATCACCGATGCGCACCCCTAACGAAGATTAAGAGAAAAATGTTCCTGTTGACGAGAATGCCCAGCTACTTCTACGATAACAAGAAGGCTACTTATTCTACTTGCAAGTGCGTGGTGGTACCTCTCATCGTCTGGGACTTGAAACTAGAACCCGGCGTGACATGCTTTCTCTTCATACTCGTTGTGTTCTGATAGTGTCCAGGACCTGGTATATCCTTGATACTGGCGAGCCCCTTCCGTATTCCTCCGGGAAATTTACCGCCAGGCACGCTGAACAGAATCATGTGGTAAAAATGAGGTAGAGACTCGCAGAAAAAAGAGAAGAACAAGCAGCTTTCGACATTTCATGATACATTCAGATGTAGTTGTAGCCGCACTTCGCTCTCTTCAGCTTCAGCCAACTTTAGTATTGTAAGCAGTTGCCTTGTGTTGATGACCCACCTGTGTTGAACTTGAAGGTTCCTTCATTTGCCTTCTTCAAAAAACATCTGACAGATATAGTCAAGTACGTCTTCGGCCCTGCTCTCGTAATGCCGTCAGTCAGGCTGTAGTGGTCTGGCCCTATTCTATCCGCGCCATCGCCTCCACTTACAGCCATTGGGGGATCTTGTTTCACCAAAACGCCGCCTGGGCCTTCGCCGTAGCCAAACCTGTTTTGTATTTCCATAATCCTATAATTTTCTTTTCTACGTTGGCTACGTAGACTTGTGCTTATTTTCCTGATACAAAAAATTTACTTAGGTGAGTCTTGACTTAAGCGGTTGTTTTCCAAATGAAGTACGCTTGATTTGGCTTTGGTATCGAAGGCCGCGTATATCTCGATTTTTTGATAAACTCCATTTTTCGGTTTTCTTTTGGGCGGCCCATCGTCTTGCTGTCCGCAATATCGCTGAAGAAAGTCGTAGTGGGGTGAGCGAGTTGTACTAAATCGATAAGTAGGACAAAGCTAAAGACGGTAGCAGTAGGTCTCAACCTGCGACAGTATTGGCGCCGGGTTCGACAATGAGCACCACGACAAAGGCACGCTATTATCTGAGGTAAGTTGATCTTGAAGAAACTAAGTGCGATACCTCATCATGATGAATGAGTGAATGAATAACACCTCATCAATAAAGTAAGTTTCAAATCAGTCAGCAAGAATACTCTGCCTCCACTGCGCTCCCGACATCGTAACTCGCAGGCCCTCTCCCAAGTGACCTTCTTCGGGTCTGTAATCTTGCTTGACTAGTCGCAAATGGGACGGCCAACCCTGGAAACTGTTTTTTCTTATTCGGCTTTGCGGGACTGTATGCAGTTGGATCTGGTGCAGCCATTCGAGCTGGGTCAGGCATACGTGCTGAAGTAGAAGTAAACGGTGCACAAGTCTGCAAAAAATCGTAAGACTGGTGCCCGCCATAGCTGCCAGGACCGACTTTATCAGTCGTGCCGACCATGGCCGCGAAGGCCTTCCTCTCCGCGAGTGACGTGATCGCCATTTTGGTGAAGCGCTAGTGGTGAGGGTCAAGAAGAAGATGAGGACGCTAAGAATAGCGACACTAGTTCGTGTGTGACAGCTGCAATGTCAAGAGTGGTTGTATGCTGCGCCTGCGGCTCTTGATGCTTTTCTTTCTCAATAAATATCGGTCCTCAAGCAGAGCGAGTGCCCTGTGCCTCCACTGTCATCTTTCACGTTCACGAAGCTGCCACGACTATTCGACGGCGGTCGGTTCCCTTCCTAATGCGCGCTGTGTTTTTGAGACGACTTCCACGGCTTCAACATACCGCAAAACAGTAGATGGGCACTAGTATTTTTGCACTTCTTTATTTAGAAGTATCGCTGTTCTAGTTCTACAACTACAACTACCGCAGCTACCAAGGGTTGCGTGGTTTTGGTCTTCTTCATCACACTCTCCCAGGAGTCGCGGTTTGAGCCCGTATTTTGTGCGGTGAAGGCATTTCTCGTTATTTTCAATCTTTCGAATTCGACGTGGCGATTTTTGAAGACGTGCTGCTCTCGGAGAGTGATCGTAATATACCCAGGAACAACACGAAAACGGGCGTACTACTGGAACTGGAGTTTAGAGTCATTCCACGTCAGAACCCGTGAGAAACGATGTCGTAACCGGTCCACGCCGATGAATTGCGGATCTATCACGAGCGTCCACAGAAAAGCGAAGCGGCGTCTCGCCTTCTTCCGGACGGCTGTGCTTAAAAAGCTACAACTTTAAGAAACGAATGAAGTGCTTGGTTGCTGTCTCTTCAAAAAAAAGCTCCTGTATTCGTTCTTTACAATGTCTTCATTTTTTACGTTACCAATTGCTTTCACAAAGAGGCCGTAGCCAGACCCATAGATACACCAGCCTTAGCTGTATTGACTATCCTCGCATTGTTTTGAAGTAATCTCTGTTGTTGACGCAATTCTGCACTATAAGCTAGAATCGCTGTGGCAAAAAGAGTTCGTTGTAGGAATCCTGAAAATCAAAATACTTAGTACGAGAGGAGGAACTGGAACTGATTCAAGTCTTCCAGGTTGAGGGGGGGATATTTTCTTGCTGCTACAACACGTTTCATCACCTTAGTACCAACGAGCACCGACGAAGATTACAGCTGCCGATTCAGTGCACGATCATCAGCACACCTGCACGACATCTCTGTACATCATCACTTGACAGAGTAGAGGACTTTATCCCGGCACTGCCAGCACGCTTCGATGCGTCTCTCCTTCTAATAAGTTCGCTCGCACCAAAAGCAGTACCGATGAAGAATGTGGTATTTCGGAAAATAATGTAAATGCTCGATCTTTCGTTTCATCTAAGTACTTATTTAAACAAGGTACTTCACGTCGAATTCATTTCTTTTACTAGCGATAGTAGAAATCGGAACAAGCTGTGAGATTGATATACCGACGCAAGGAAGGAACAACGTTGAGAATGAGACGATGCTTGTTTGCCAAAATCTTGTGGGGTTGCCAATATCGTAATGCGATAGAATTAGAACAGGGAAGATTACAGTAAAATCCCCAGTAGAGATAAGTGCGACAGAGTGGAAGATTGATGTGGAAGATTGATCGTCCCTTTGAGTAACTTCGCGGTTAGCTACCCCCTAGAGCTAGATGCTCTTGAGATGAGGGTGCCTCATTAGATTGTATTCGTTTTTCGGGAAAAGGGCAGAGCAACTGCTCGTGTAATACCACGGTTGACGAATGCTTGTCGGTGATGACAATAGGGTGGCCACCTATCTCAACGGTGTCTGCTGCATCAACGTCAGGCTCTTCAGCAATGGCTGGTGCGACCGGCCGCTGTTGTATTTGAAACTGTTTTTCATCTCGAGTCCTTTTAGCGTCCCCTTCTTTATGGTAATCCACACGCAGCTTTAGTCGCTCTGCCTGTCGCAGTCGCTTCTTGCTGATATCGACGCCTACTGTGCGCGTGAACCCCACACTCTCGGCAGTAGCGAGGACAGTTCCCGCACCGCAAAACGGGTCGACAATTGTGTCGAAATCGAAGTTCTCCCAAAGCCAAGTGAGAATTTGTCGAGTACATCCCGTGCCCATGCACCGCGCATTGCTGCGGATTGCGCCAGGCTTAGCCCCACGCACCAAAAAAGTTGGCAGCACATGCTGAGACCAAGCCCGCTGCCTGTCGTAAAGCGTAGCCTGCTGACACGAACTGCTGGCACAACCGTTCTTCGCTGAGGCCGTCGATGCAGGGTCCCCTTGTTGCCCGTGCTCCCTCCTATAGATGTACTCGTGAAAAGACTCTCCTCCGTCTGCAGCTAGATCTCCAGAAGCAACTGTGACACTAAGTCTTTCATCGGCACACAAACGTACTCTGACGTCCTCTTGTTTCAAGCCGCATGGGTATTTGAACTTGAAACGAAGCTCCCGGGGTTCGGTAGAGGAGCGACTTCTACTTTCTGTGGTCGTCGTGGATGTTGAAGCGAAGCTACCAGTACTTGCTTGTCGAGTCGATGCAAAGGCCAAGTCTCTCCGCCGAAGCAACATCTCCGCTTGAGGGCGCCAACACTGCCCAACATTCTCATTCTCCGATGTTTTTAATGGTATTGTGCCAGATAAACCAGCTACTTCCTGCTCATGCTTTTCATCTTCCAACACCCACTGTCCGCATGCAGCATTCAGCGGTGACGCCTGCGGGTTACCTTTTCTCACACATATGGCATGAGTAAACCCAGGCTTCAAGCCGTTGACACATCCACCTCCTCCGCTCGTGGAGGCGGCACCGACCACGCTAGGCAAACTGTTTTCGAAAGAATCCGCTACAAGTTTGTGCCATGCGATATGAATGTCTAGCAACGCTTCCAAGTCCGCTATGCATGCTGGGGATTTCCCGTCCTTGTCGACATCGACATGTGCATCTTCAATGAGTTCGCCAAGGAGATTGCCTGCAGTTTTTCTCAGATCCTCAATGGCTTCTGCAATGAGACTCGCTTTGCTGATGTGCGTACAGAAATCCGGTTTTGTGTCCGTTTGGTAAAAAATGGAAACGGAGTCGCGCGGGAGCGCAACCAGCACCGCTTTGACAGCATTCTTGAAGAACAGTTTGTACTTGTGAATCTGCAAATTTACGACTGGCGTCGCGCCCTTCTCGTCCTTTGAAGCTCCACCTTCAGAACAAACATAACTAACCTCTCGTTCGCTACTGCACGATAGCTCGCAAATGTCCGGCAAACTCGTGACGATGCACCACGACGCTGTTGATGCTCCTTGCTCTTTTCCGACGAGTAAGCCATCATCTCGTACTGCACCACCAGAGGTTTTGGTCGTCAGAAGAGAAAGAAAGCGATCTCTCAACTCCTCAGCAAAACCTGTTTCGACAAATTTTGTGAGCTCTTTCTCCCCAAGGTAGGAGTCGAGTCCTCGTAGAGGCGTTTGCCGCACAACAGGATTGTCTAATTTGTCCTTTGCAGTAGAGCTTGAGCTCTTTTCGCGTCGATTAGAATGGGACGAGTTTCTTGTCGGTGTTTGCGTCTCAAAGTTTTTCAAGACGTCCCACTTTCCGCAGTGTCCTCCTATGCCCAAGAAGTCCAACGCATCAACATTCGCCAACCACCGCTTTTTCTCGGATGATTGCGACGGAAACCATTGCTCCAATGTCGATCCGTACAAGTCTAGCATTTTTTTTTGAACTCTACTTGTTTTTGTACTAATTTGTCCTTTCTTTAAATTAGTCGGTCAAGGGCATGGAAGCATTCATGGGTGTAAGAACACGCGTAGATACATAGAAGAAGAAAATAGATAGATTTAGATGGAAGAATATACTAAAACATTTTTAGATTTAGACTTAGATTACAGTGCAAGAATAAATTAAAACTTGTCTGCTTCAGTTTGCATATTATTTAAGAGCTGCCCTCTTTGCAAATCATTGAATGACGAAACCGTTACAACTGAACAAGAACAATTGAGAAAGAGAACATCAACATATTTCTTGTTTCTGTCTGAGCACCGAAAGTGATCTACATCAGCATCCTTTTATGTGGAGCATAGATCTGAGATCTGAACAGAATCAATTGAGGAGATGGTTAAAATCGTAGGATGATCTTTCGAAGTAAATTGTGACTGACCACGGGTGGCACCGCAATACAACTTGAGTTAACAACTTTTCTGGCACCATTGCTGTAGCGCTTGTTCGCGGCTACTAGGATAAAACTCTTGGAGAAATCACAAGTAGACCACGATTTGCCACTTGTACCAAAGAATAGTCACTTTATTTTAGGGCTTATCCATATCTTTCTCTTCCATCAAGAGCAAAAGCACGGAGTTTCATAGAGCTCATGTTCAAAGGTTTGATGCCAGGAGATAGATAGGTCATATGCTCATCCTTTTTCCCACGTTCTATCGAACGTCGAGATTCGCAAGAAAGGCGACCACATTGATGCTAATAAAGGCGTGAAGATAAGAAAAAAGAACTAGAACTGCAACAACTACGAGCTAGAACTTCCTCTACAACTGATGACGATGCTAGTCGATTCGGATTGGACCTCCGAAGATTTTTATCTAGTATATGTGGCATTATTCTACTTACACTGATGGCGTTGGCGGCCATCGTGGTCTAACTGACAACTGCTCTGACGAATCACTATTTGAGAAACATATCACCACAACTTAAGACAAAGACTAAGACACTGAGACTGAAAAGTCAAAAATCAAAAACCTGCGCACCAGTCGCAGCATATTATGCGCAGACTGGGAGCGCCTCCACCATCAACGCTTTTCTTGCTTACAGCCATGACGTGGTACATCATTGTGCGGATTGTCTTTTCCATCTCGCTGTCGATAAGACTCTAATTTAACTTCGTCCTTATGTGTGCAAGTATGAGTAGGTCCAGCATGATGCCGATGATGACGAAGTGATGATATCACATGCAGATTATATGCATTGTTTTTATGCATGGATCGATACTGAGAACAGTAGAAAACTACTAGGACTATATGGACATCTTCTAACTACAATGTAGGGCTTTGCGTGATTGAGCAGTAGTTGCGATCTGCAGAGAAACGCAGAAAACAGAAATTTCACCAAGAAAGTCTGCTACCCTAGTGTTCTTTAAATTCAAACTGCGAACTATGCAGTACTCCTCCAATATCGATCACAAGATAAACCTCGAGTGGACAACCAAAAGAAAAACTTCAAAACTTCAAAGAATCACACGGATGGTCGATATGGTGCTTACAACATAAGTTCAATAATAGTACTAGGTTATGAGTAGATTCACAACAGTGTTGACGCTGTGCATCTCTGTTCTTTCATTGCACACAAACACTCTGTTCATCTTCATCATCATCTTTCGGTTCTGTCCGACTTCGCACCCACTAATGAGAAAACGATGCGATTTCCTCTATCGTACCCCTTCCCCTGCTGTCAGCTGCATACCTGGCTCGAATACGCTCAAGTCCCGCAATATTCGCAAAAATAAACAGAAAAACTCCGAAGATAAGCATGAATACGTGGAAAATACGTAATCCAAATCCAGGACGTGCGCGTGAGATAGAGGTATCACCATCATCGAATCCTGCATCTTCTACGAGGTCTTCATCTTCTACGAGGATTGACGTAGTAAGAGAGCAGGCATCACCGATCGGCGCTTCGTTTTTCTTGTTCTTCTGGGTCTTGGGTACTGGTTTTATATTTTCACCAGTTGCACCAGAAGGTCCGCTAATTTTGTCGAGGTGATTCTTCTTTTTCTCTTGCGTGTAGTTTTTATCTCCAGAGACTAGGTAGAATCCGTACAGCGGGATAAGCAACTCGCTAAAGACGAGAGAAAGACTCGAAACCAATCCGGCAACTTCTACCATGTAGGGCACTGTAAATCCACAAATCAATCTGACTGCGACAAACCCAACACGAAAAGCCACCCCAGTTGGTGACAGTGCAGATGCCGTTGATGTTGAAGAAGCCGAGGAGTCGAGCTCGTGACCTTTGATTTCATCTCCTCCACCTAGTAGACCTACTCTTGAAGGCGCCGATGATGTTCTTCTATACAACGAGCAAAATGACGGCCACTTGTCCTCGCAGCTATCAAGAAAGTTCGTGATGTAGAGAAACTCCACCACTGTTAGGCATAAAATAACGATAAACGATACCAGTCGAGACCCAACAGTCGAACTCTTAGAGAAAGCGGTACCAGCAGTGACACCCAGTACAATCAAACTCAAACAGGAGATACACCTCCAGAACTTGTGGTCCTAATACGTAGAGCACAACTCGCTCTTGTTCACACAACCTGCTCCTACTTGAAGAAGAAGATGTTGACAACTATCGAATAGTCAGCAACATCAACTTGATTAGCAGAATCAGCATTGATCCACAACAGGGTCTGACAATGGCGAGCGATGGTTGACAATGGATAAGGTTACTCTGAAAAATGAAGTTTTTAGAG